AGCAGGAAAAAGGACAAGAAAGTAACAGTGGCAGAGGGTTGCTATTTTAGATAAAGTGTTAGCAAAGTCCTCTCTAAAATTCAAGTCGGGACCTGAATTAAGTGAGAGAATTCACCATGTGGTTATCTTAGGAAGTAGATTCAAGGGAGAGAGAACAGTAAGAACTAGGGTCTGGAAGCAGGAGCATGCTGAGTGTGGACTGAGGAACAGCTAGGCAGCCAATATGGCTGGCGCTCAGTTGTCCCCCTGATATAAGTAGCATATAAACTATCAACACTAATTAGCAAATTTAAAACTTGTATATTTATGATCTCTAAGGATGAGATTCTCTAGGGAATGGACACAGGACTGGCAAGGGTAAATGGAAAATGACATGAAATGTAATAATAATTATTGTTATTAACACTTATAGAGTACTTCCTATGCATCAGGTGCTTTTCTAAGCTCTACACTTACATTAACCCATTCTTCTATTAAGTAGATACTATCTCCATTTAACGTATGAGGAAATTAAAGCACAGAGGAGTTAAATAATTTGTCCAAGATCACACAGCTGGAATTTGAATCTAGACTGTCTGGCTTGAGTCTGTGTCCTCATTTTCACCCTCCACAAGGGAAGGACAGAGTTGTTTCCTTGGTAAGGAGGACCCACGTGGTGGGCAGTGTGCTCTACAGGGTCCTTGAGTTGCACAGACTCGGACACACGTGTGTGTGGTGTAGGAGTGGCAGTAGAAAAATGGGCAGCCAGAGGGTAATCGACCTTCACAATTACACTCATATTATTTTGTTTTTCTCTACTTAAAGGCTGACTTTCTTACTTAGAAAAGCATAAGAATTCCTGCCGAAACCTAATAGCAGCGCTTCTGAAATATTTCACAAAATTCTAGCCAATTGAGAAGATAAATATACAATGTAAAATAAATATACAAATATATATTGTGGGAATTGTTTTTTATCCACACTTTCTGATCTCTGTGTTGTACAGTACCTGGGTAAAAAAGAAAAAAAAAATTACAATCAGAAATATTATTGTCCTTTCATGAAGTGTATTTGAAAAATCGGAAATATTTCAGCAGATAGATAATGGTCTTTTCCTTTTTTCTCCTCACATCTTCTGGCTTGAGAGCATCCAACTGCGTGGGTGGGGCCTGCTGCGCTGCCAACCTTCCGTGCTCAGCCCTAATGTACATCCAGGTTGGGTTTATTTGGAATGAATTTGAAATTGAAATATGGGGAAAATGAAGTAATTTCAAAGAACTAAGGGAAGTATCATGTACCTTTTTTTTTTTCCTGGTGGAATTTAATGGATCTATTTACCAAATTCCAAACCTGATACAAAGCTTATTTTATTCTAAGAGCTTGTGAATTACTGTCACTACTCTGTATTATTAGGTGCTGACTTTTCTCAGCAGAATCCCCCTCCCCCCAATGCCAACAAACAGGATGGCCAGGTTACAGGCTCACAAGTTCTCTGGCATCATTTCATGTTCCTCTTCATTGTTCAAACATCATTTTAGCATATTTCAAACCACATGAATAGTCAGAGAGTGTTGCAAAGTATCTCCCCTATAGAAATAACTTTATCAGATGCCAGGTTTGGTTAGTGCATAAGTGCTGAATATCTATGGAAGGATCTAAATATTATAATTATTGTCAATATGTACTAATAGCCATTGGGAAACTCATAAGAATAACTTGCTATATATGATAATAGCAATAGAAAATATCAAAAAGTGAGAGAAAGAAAGAAATATTTAACTGTAAGTAGTCCAGTGGCCCAGATTATTGAGAAAATTAGGCTGTTCCTAAAGGGCTTAAAAAAAATTAGGCTAAAGAAAAGTTTAGAATTTCAACAAAAACTTTAATCTGCAATATAGGTTGAGCTACTCATGTTACCAGCTGCTTCACTGCCATACTTTTATCCTATTAAATAGCATATTAGGAAACTTTCTAATGAAACATGATTTTTTTTTTTTGCTTATTGTTATTTGAGAAAAAAACTTTTATATAAAGCAAATAAATGATTTAAAAAAAAAATTCTGGTGCCACATGTCAAAGAAAAATCATTAGCTAACTATTTCATTGGTTCATAGCACTTAGAGCAATATTTAGTAACTTGACCCTGGAAAGCTTTCAGCAATTAGTACATCTTCTTATTGCATAAAGAGATGGGGGGGGCGGGTTGTGGGGGGACTGTTTGTTTATTTTTGTTTAAAAACTAACGAATGGAAAGCCTGCAGGTCAGACCTTAAAGCAGAGGTCCTGAACAAAGACAGCATGCACTCGGCAACCCTCTCTTTAAGAAGGAAATATTAAAATAAAGACTTCCAAGTAAGACGGGGTATTAACAGACGAGACATATGCCGGCTGACTGGCTATGTTTAGAACAGCAGAGGAGCATTTAGATTTGTTTCCTGTAGAACTCTCTGGGACTGATGAGGTGATGTTTACACAAATGTTTGGATGAAGTCACTGGGATATTTTTACTAGATGCCCAGATATGTTACTAATCTTCTCTCTCTATCCCCTCTCTACCCCATTAGGTCAGTAGGACCATGGAATAGGCATGGTATTATTGCTCCCTGTTAATTTTAATGCCTTTTTATCTCTTTTCAAAAATGTCCTTCCCCATGGCTTTCTTATCTTCTTACATATCTCCGACAATAACAAAGAAGACAGATACTTCACTGACTTTGCTAAATATGCCCGCCAGTCTGCAAAGCAGTATACAATTATTAAGTACATTTTCTTTTATTAAAAAGGTAATTAAGTTTAGGTTTGCCTTGAAGGGACTGTCCCATGACCTCCCTCCTTTTCAAATACGCAAACTCTGTCTTTCATTCTATTTTTTCTTTATTGTCTGCCACTTTTGTTCAGTCACATCTCAATTATCAAAATTTTTAGTCATTCCCACATCGCTTATTCCTTATCTTCAGAAATGACATTCATTGTAAATAGCATAATGAGAATTTCCCTTTAACTAAAATTGCAATGTCTGTCATAGAACAGAATTGCTTGTTTCTATTTAAATTAGCAAAGTTTGGTTATATTTCCTGTTAAACTCTTCCTGTATCATTATTCTGCATGTTTATATCTGCTTCTCTATGTTTTTGAACACTATTTAGAATTTTAATTCAGTCTGCCCAAACGAATTTAATATAACCAGGATGAACTGGTACATCCTTTCTAGTAGTAGGCCATGAGTAATGTTTTTTCACTATACCTAGCTATGCACCACACTACTGGTAACAAACTAGGGACAGTGTGCTGGCGGTTTCCTTACCCAGCTATGTCTCTGTGAAGGCTGAGAGCACAGGCTCTGGAATAGAGTCTGACTCCAACCCCACCTCAGCAGTATGACCATGGGCAAGTTGCTAAAATTCAGTCTTCACATCTGTAAAATGTGATAATAAACATACCCACCTCATAGAGCTATTGTGAGGATTTAATGAGTTTACCTACATAACAGAGTGAGTGGCATAGAAAAAAAGTCCTAAAATAAAGTTAGCTATTATTGCAATTAATAGTCATTTACAAAAAGGGTCTTATTCTGTGTATTTACTGTAAGCATTGGATGTTACTTATCTCAGCCTCACAGGTGAACTAGGTAATTCAATATGCTAAAAAGATTTTCTCAAGGGTTTATGGAGACTTCTAGTAGAGACTAAGCTCTCAGGCCCTCCTAACACCCATTATGGCAGCTTCCATGATTTTTATTAACAATGTGTACATATTAGAGAAAAGGATTCCATATGCAAAGAATTACATTTGAAAATATAATACAAGGCAACTGTAAAATCCTTGCATCTTTTTGGAACTCTTCTGTAGCATTTGATCACTCCCGCCTTTGCAAGCCTCCATGAAAACACTCTCTAACAACTTTACTCTTTCTTTTGTGGTTTCTCATCTCCATGCTCACCATATTTCTTTGTTGGTCCCTCCTACATCGGCTGTTCTCTCAGTCCTATACATCGTTCACATCTCTTCTTAGTCTGTACACTCTAAGTCAATGCTTTCATCTCTACCCTTGACTTCAATTAACATATATTTACAAGACAGGCCTTTCACCTGAATACTGGGCTTCACCACTTATCCCACACCCAGCTCGAATCAACCATGTGCAAGGCTGTTCCTCCTCCTATTGCCACATCTCTGGGAAGAGCACTACTTTTCGCCCTAGCTTCTCAAATCACTGGGGCTCATCATTATCTCCTCTCTCTTCTTCATCTAATTAGATACCATGTCCTACAGCATCTACCTCTGTGGTAACTCTGGGATCCATTTCCTTCTCGCTACACCTATTACCATTTATTAATTCAGTTTTCATTAATTTTCATTTCTTACCTGACTAGTGTAACCACTATCTGTCCAATTTCATCACCTGCTACTTCCCCTCCCTCCATGTATGATAAACTACATACGGTTCTATGCACACTCCGCTCACTGTTATTCCCTGTCTTTCTACCTACCACTCCTTCTATCCTGAAATACTATTTTTTCTCTCCTCCCTGCAGAACTCAGCTTAGAAGTTACCTCCACCCAGCAGCTTTTATTGACTCTTCCTCTGTCGCACAGTGTGGATTCAGAATCCTTCCTCTGGACTCCCACAGAACATGGATTCCCTCTCAGTGACAACATAGAATGCCTCCTGGCTTCTGACAGATGTTATAGTATCTGCTCACCAAATCTTTAAAAATTTACAAATTTCATTTGTAAGGAAAAAAAATAGTGGAGAACTGACCAGAGAATCTACAACCCACTCATTTGTCTAGATTACCTAAATTTTATCTCTGAATCCAGCCAGTACACATACAAATATACTTAAATGAACATTTTTATAAATGGTTGTATATGCATATAAAATACCTAGAAGCATATAATCAAATTGCAAAATGGCTAGCACTGGGACGTGAAGACACAGAGAAAACAGGAGACTTTTACTTTTTACTCTTAGATAATTTTATGTTTTTTAAATAATAACTATAAATTACTTTTATAATAAAGATCTTTAAATGTAGTTATAAATAATATAGCAAGAACTATTACGGAGATTAAATACTAGAAAAGTGAAAAGGAAAATCAGAAAGGACTCAGGAATCACTTTTATGGTTGATGTAAGATAACATAAAAATGCTTTTTAAACCTTTAAATAATGATTATGTTTAATTTCATAAGGTCATTTTTGAATATCAAAAATGATATTCACAAATAAGTCTGAATTAGAGTCATCAGTTAAATGTGGCTTTCTAGAGATAAGAGAAGCGATTTAGTAAGAAAAACGTGCTTTCAATGCAGTAAGCAAAACCACATTCTGCTTGCCTTTGAGATATCTATACATTCAACTCAACCCAGTTTAATTTAATGTGTTCCATGGGAATGCTGTAAAGAAAAAGATGTGAGAATATTTCTTTCCTCTGAGAAACTAGAGTCAACTTAAATTTCTTTAATTTTGTATGTAAAGTTTAACAGTGAGCTCTGCTTCCACTGGTGATTTTGATAAAATTTATTTAGAGAAATGCATTAAGTTTATCTGTCTTAGGAACAAGATTTAATTTTACTTACTGGCAAAGCACCCCATTGTGGTTCCCTAAAGTTGCCATATATCGGGCTATGCAAATAAGAACTGGGTTCAGCAACAGCAGATTCAAATGGCTTGAGCAAAACAGTGTCATTCAATGAACTGGTGATAGCCACCTTTCCGGTGTTGAGACAGTCTCATGACAAGAACAACTTTCAAAATCACCAGTAGAAGCAGAGCTCACTATTAAACTTGATATCCAAAATTAAAGAAATTGACTCTAGTTTCTTAGGGGAAAGAAATATTCTCAGTTCTTTTTCTTTAAAGCAGCCCAGTGGAATACATTAAATTTGGATACTTAACACTATGCCTTGGACAAAAGCCAATGACTATCTGTTAAAATCACTTTTAAAAAAAAATTCTCAAAATTTCATTTAGAGAAATGCATGAAGTAAATGTTTAGAAAATGAGGACTTGATAGTATCTAGAATGGCTTACAGGTATGTTTTTCCTTATCCTGTGTCATCTTCACATAGGTAAGTATATGTTTAGAAACCTCTGAAAGGATGGGAGTTGCAGTAGCAGTTATAACTCCTAAGGGCTTGACCCTTGGCACTCTTAGATTCAGCTCAGTTCCATGACGAGAAGGCAGGTGGTGCCAATGTGAGCAGTATTAATAAGGCTTATCTGACGAGGGCTATGATGCATGTTCAAGGAAAGCAGAGCCCTTTCCAATCTGTCACCTAGCTATTTAAGTTAAAGAAGCCGCATGATCAGTCTTATTTCCATTTATGCCATGGATCCAAAGTTACTCCAAATACATAGTTAGAAACACGGCAAACAAGACAAGCAGATATTCCTCTTGGGCTTCTTATTTTTCCCTGCTATTAGTCAAGTGCATCACTCAAGGTTAAGGTCTCACCATGGGCTACAGTAGAGAGATGACTCCATGACAGCCATCAGTGAATCATTGCAAATACCAAGAGGCCTAATTTCTGAGAGATTCTGAGTCATGATCCATCTTGCCAGGTTTATTTCTAAGCTCTTGCAGTTAAAAGGCGGGGAGGCGGGTGTGGGGAGGGGCGCCATGAACTTTTAATATTGGGAAGGAGTTCTAAAGCAGCCAGAAAAGATCATTTTGAAATTCATTTTTATGTAGCCAATTAGGCAAATGTATTGTAATCTGATTTTGGAAATGAACTAACTACTGTCAATTCATTTTAATTCTGTTTTGTGCTCTTAACAGAACTACAAGGCTTAGTCTGTCCATCACAATAGAATGTCTCCAGAAGATTATTCTCTTATTTGCTAAAATATTGAAGTTGTGGAATCCAACTAGACTGTAGTAAGGTGTGACCAACTATAGTAGTCATACTATGAGCCCAAATACTCAGCAGTTAGAAACAATGGATTAGCAGTATGGATGGCTCTTAAGAACATACCACTTAATGAAAAAAAGAAAAGAAGCATTATATAACATAATAGCATCTGTGAATACAATGCACATTTTGCAGAAAAATATAGAAATAAAAAGATACACATTAAAAACATTAACGGCGTGGGAGAAAGGAAGTAGAACAAGAGAGGAATATGGAGATAAAAGGACTAAAGAAATGAACAATATAAAAGAGGAGCCCTCCATGGACCAATGATGATAATGGACCATAAACTAAGAGTCTATAATTAATTCACTCTGCACTTGAGGTCCAAACTGGGGTGGAGCAAAAGAACAGACCTCATGAAAATATAGTCTAACATGTTAATTCTCCTCCTTACTATTTGAGATTATAAATCCAGAGGCCATATCAATATTCTCTTTTTTAAAATTTAGTATGCAAATCAAAATTATTTTCAAAGAGGACTATAATAAACTCTTACTTATTATGAGGATGGTGTCAGTATAATTTTTTTCTTACCCACAGTAAAATGTCTTCTGTATATAGCCAATCTTAACCTTATTCAATCCATGCTGTAGAGAAAGCCAGAAAATGTTGACGAAGAATCAAACTTACCTTCGAAGCCTTCATTTAGGACTCCACTGGGGTTTGCTTCTTCTCTGTATTGAGAAATACTATTTAACAAAAAATTTCTGAATAACTGAAGCTGGTCTTGAATTTTCTGGAAAGTTGGTCTTTGGTCAGGTTCTTGAGCCCAGCACTGGGCCATTAAATTCCACCTGGATATGTGAGTAAAGAGAAGAAAGTGAATGGTGATTGGATATTATTAGGCAACCATTACTGATAACCCAGTTAAGGTCATTTTAGAGGGTAAAAAAAAAGGTTATTTAATTAATTAATGCAATTAATTAATTATATTTAATATAAATGAAATAATTAATATAAATGAATCAGTACAAAATCTTTGGTTTCTTATTTAATAGTGGCTTGCAACATTACTACCTTTATTAGATAACACTTTTCTTTTGAAAAGCCAACATTATTTTAACAGTTATTAATCCAAATGAATAGGTAAACAGATGGTTGCATAATTTTCACTCAATACACAAGGGAACTAAGAGCTATAAAAAATATTGACAATTAAAAAGACTTTACATTCATATCTAAAACAAAATCTAAGATTACTCCAAACCATACAAATATTTAGTGGTAGAACCAGAGATAGAAGTCAGTTTCGATTCTAATGCCTTTACTCTTTATTACACTGTCAGGTTAAGAGATTCAGTTCCCCCAGACATTGATAGCTGGTTGATTAAATATTATCTTTTCCTTAACAGTTGTCTAAGAACTGTTGCGCAGCACTCTTAACCTGTGTTCATTCATTCATTCGGCAAAGATTTGTTGGGCACTTATTTTGTACCAGCAGTATATCCAGAGCTAGAGATGTGGCAGTATGGCTCCTGTCTTCATAGGGACATATGTAGTAAATGTAACAAGGTGATAACAATTATCTCATTACAAACCATATGAGCAAGAAAAAAAAGTAGCTCATTCATATTGTCTGTAACTAATCAGGTCTTTCTCAGAGCCCCCACCTAGCAGAAGGAAATTAACTGTTTTTAGCACAATGCACTTTAAAATCTAGTCCAATTCAATATATTAAATAAACTTTTTAGGTAATGCTTAGTCTTTTCTGGATAATAGCTTAATCTTTCTTATTTTTAGACTATTTTACTCCCTCTATCCTCTTCTCCAAGATGGTGTCAGAATACACGATGGGTGAAAGCTTTCTGTGATTTTTAACAACACGGTGAAGGATCCTTTGGACCCCACTGTCCCTCAAAGTGAAAAGATCAGGAATTCCACAGGAGTGCCTGGTGTGCTCCACTCTGCAGGCATCAGCTGCTATCTGCAGTCTACGATCTCTTTACCTTTTCTTTTGGCCTTTCTCTACTGAACTGGTCCTCCTTTTTCTGAGACTTCTCTGAGACTGTACCACCCTAGTATTTGCAGCCAAGGCTCAGGAAATCCATTCCTGTTTCTGTTGCATGCCCACAGGGTACTCCTTGGCCTAATCTCTAGCTTTCAACAGAATGTTCACACCCTTTGGAAAACAAAGGCGGCTTAAAATTTCAAGCTACATGTTCTCAATCTGAACAGGCATTCTACTTTCTTCATGATGCTGGGTCTCCATGTCAGTGTGAGGGTCCCCTACTCAATGATCTCCTTGCCATTTTCCCACACACGGAGGAGTGGGCAGTTGCTTCGTGCCCTTGGTATTGCCCACACCTAACGTGACTGAAGCTTACAGAGGAGGTTGCAGGACCTAAAAAACCAAGATCACCCTTCTGCCTCTCATCTGTCAAGGTCTCTTCTTACACTTCGACAAGGCTTAGAAAGAGTGGGGTTTCTACTCACTTCCTCTCTTTTAAGTTAGCTCATTCTTATGTAGAATTTTAGGTCCTAGTCACTCAAACTTGGCATTTAATACGTTAACAATGAACAAAAACTAGATAACCCTCTTTGCTGCAGGCTTGGTTTTCAAGTCTATGGACTTACTAAAAAGGTCAAGTACCTGTTCTCTTATTTGATTTTCTGGAGCTACAAGGCAGATTGGGGGGCAGGGAGAGAGAAACTGATAAAAAAACAAACAAACTAGGAAGTATTTTATAATATTAGGACTACTATATCAACAGATAAATCTATAATTGCAAATTATAAGTTCTATAGACAATTGGGGGGATTACTTTGTAAATTTATATATATGTGTAACCACTATGCTGTGTACCTGAAACTAATATAAACACTGAATGTTAATCTAATCAAAAAATAAAAATTAAAAAAAAAGAAATATGACTTGTATAGGATGTATTTGCCAAGTGCAAAGAACAAAACAGAAATAAAAGCATTTTTCTTATAAAAAATTAAAAAGTACTAAAGAAAACAAATGTGAAATCTGATAAAGATGGAACATTTTTGGTAAGTTGTTCACAGAAGTCCCCTCTGCAGTGGTAACATTTCAGCCGAAGAACTCTGTGAGGAAATAAGATGCCAGTTATGGAAATGGGGGTGAGGGTGGGGGATGGGAGTCAAGGAACACACTAGAAAAGGAAAAAGCACGTGCAAATTTGTAAATTTGGACAGAGCTTGGCACATTTTAGAATCTGAGAGGATGTGTGTGTGGCTAAAGCGAGGTCATTGACAGGGAGAGTATAAGAGATGAGGTCAGAGGAGGGAGGTAAGATCATGCAGGTCTCAGACAGGCTAGGAGCTGAATATGACATTACAATGGGAAGCTGCTGATCTTTATATTTTTAAAGGATTACTCTAGCTTATATGTGTGGACTGGAGTGTAGAGGGGCAAGTTGAAAGCAAGGAAGTTATTAAAGAAGACTAGGTGAGCAATAATGGTGGTTTAGACTACGGTAAAGGCAATGGAGCTAGAACAGGGGCCTATTCAATCACTAGTTGACAATGATCCAGAAGTCATTATGGGTATTGTATTTAAAATAGCTAGAATCTATTTTAGGAACTGTAATCTCCATTTTTGATAAGGTGGCACGAAAATTCCACTTCCATCTCTTTCATTTTTTGACAAACACCTCAGGTCGGAGTTAGTATTCAATATCGGAGTACTATGGGGAAAACTGATATTGGTCTACTTTCTAGTATTGATCTGATGACTTTTCATATATATGATGAAGAATTTACATTCTGGATATAGAGTGCCAAACTTGGCTTTATTTTTTAAAAATCAGAATTGTAGCTGAGAACCTACTCTTTTACATATTTCTTTATAACCTGAGGCATTTAGAAACAGGGATGATAGAAAGATCCCAATGAATGATGATTAGATTTGAAATAAAATATTGTTAAACATTTTAAGTAGTAGTTAAACCAGAATGTTGATGACTAACCTAAGGATAGTCTTAGAAAGTGAAAAGAGAAAGTAAAGTATAATTTTCCACAGGAAGCATATCCTTTCTGAAAAAGAAAGTTATGATTCAAAGATATTGCCAAAGAATAGACAGACTCTCTCAAGACTTGTCATATTTTAATTATGAAGTTTTTACTTGTTTTATTATTTATATCCTGCATCATTCTACAAAGAAGGTAAGACACTTCATGGAGATTATTTAGAAGGAGAGAAAAGAAAAGCAAGAAGCAAGAAGGGAGGGGATGAGGGAGAGGAGGAGGGTGGAAGAGAGAGAAGCTACCTTCACAGTTGCCACTTAGCCACTCTGCACCTCACCCTTTCACACTACCCTCCAAAACATCAGCCTCTTGTTTAATCTATGTAATATTTAAGCAGATATTCCTTTTTTTTTTTTTTCATTTATAGAGGCTTGATTTACATTGAGTCGCTAATCATTTTTCTTAATTTCCTGATGACAAAAACATATCACCTTTTCTCTTCCACCATCCAGGGACAAATGAGCACCAAACTGTCCTAGACTAAGAAAAGAACTCTATAAAGCCATAGTCACTTAAAAGTTACGAGGACCACTTGGGCTCTTCAATGGCGTTAAGCTGGCAGTGGAATAAAATGAAGCTTTCAAGAATTTAATCCTGAAAAATGAATTTTTTACATCTTCCAGGTAAATTAATAACAACTATTTCTTTGATATAAGATTCTTTCCTTACAAATATGCACTTGTCACAATTCAATATCATGCATTAGGTATTTACATTAACTTATAGTTACAAATATTATTCTAAAATAAACTTACAAGTAATTAACTTTTGTTAAAATTTACCTGGGCTGGTTGTTCCAGCTCTAAACAGATACACACTCATACTGGAAATATCTCATTTAGCTAAGGGTTCAGGTTCAAATTCCTTCCTTCACCATGCCAACCCTTTACTCCTCTTTGCCTCAATTTTTGTTGCAAAATAACACCAGAGTCATTAACTATGTTTATTATTAGCGTCTATAAGTAAAGTCCTTACATTCATAAAACAATTAAATTCAACAGATGAAAACTCCATGGCATCTTTCAGTATTAAGGGGGTAAGTTTCTATAGGTATTTAAACAAAGCACATAAAGTACAGATTTTAAGAACTCCCTTACTCATTATGCTAATCCTGGAGAGTCAATTGTCATCTAGATGTACATATTTTTAAGGAGTGAAAATAAGATGGTGAACCTCTGGTTCTCCCCTTGTTGCTCCCTCCATTTGAGAGACTGTTCAGTAATTCCAGTTGCCACTGTGCTATATCTATCAGAGAACCCCAAAGAGCTCTCACTTGAAGTAGATTGCCCTTTGATCCTGTTTCTTTTTGAGAGTGGTGTGGTTGTTGTGCAAACCAAAAGCTGAAGAGAATACTGAGGACTGGGCTTTCCACCATATATCTCATGCTATGGAGAGAAGAGAGGAATGCTCTGAACTCCTGCATTCCATTAATAGCTAAGCATAGTGTATCCATCTACAGGCTCACCTGACCCAGAGTGCATCCAGGTGCTGAGAATTTAGGCAGTGAATAGAAGGTGCAGCATGGCTCAGTGAAGACTTTCAACCCTCTAAGCTGGGCCTGTGATCTCAGAGAACTGCTTCAAATAAAAATCAGTTCTCTCTGTACTCTAAGGAGAGTAGTTAATCTTTATCATGACAACTTAAGGCCATGGCCAGATTGAATGGCATTGCTCAGAGCTCCATTTCCTAGCACAGCTTATTTTCCTGGTTGGCAATGAGTTAACCCTTCCTGGGGCTCTGAGAGTCATACAGCACTTGGAGAGAGGGCTGGGAGCATTGTTTACTTTTTAATTTATTGATGTTCAAATGAACTTCAAACCATCAATGGAAATTTTTGGTTTCATGGAAACTATATTTTTATAAAATTAGAGCAATAACCATATCCAACTAATTTTTCAAGATAAAATTATATAGAATATTATCATTTTCTGCTTATAATCAGGTACATTTTTTTCTAGCATTTTTCTAGCACACCTTCTTCTTCCTTCCAGTTGCATTTTTGGATACCTTGGAATAGAGCAAAGTTCAACATACCTACATTTTTCTGCTCCACAATAGTGCTATTAATCATCTACCTCTCTCTTCTCCAAACAATACAAACACATCAATCAAAATGTATACTACAGTGACTAATTCCTAAAGTGCCTATCCAAAAAAAAAAAAAAAAAAAGCAACAGCCAATTTTGTAGTCCTTGCACAGTGCTACAAGTTGCTAACTTTATGCAAACAGATTTTCTGTATCTCCTAACAAATTAAAAAAATGAATTATTGTGATGAGGTATATTACCCCTGGGAGCAGGAGGGAATATGCCAGATAAAATTCTAACAGCACAATGAAAATTTCATGTGATTAAAATTCTGGAGAAATTTTCTGAGTATTTGATATATGTGTAAAAATGCAAAATAATGACTAGCTTGCTAATTATCTTTAAAAAATATACTTCATATTTAGGTATGCTGGATTTCCCCCCTAGATCCTAGATCGAAGGTTTTCAAATTTTGTATAATTTCTTATCCTTAACTTACAAAATTTTCCCCATCTCTTCACAAAATATTTGAAGCATATTTTTAGGCATTGTTGCCAAACTTGTTCAGGTATGTGTATGTCTAATCTCCCTGTAAATATCCCAGAGGCTATAAAAGCTAACTTAGAAACAAGCAGTGATTCAAATCTTCTTCTAGCTGGAAGATTTAAATAATACAAAAACATTCACCAGTAGAACATCCAACCAAGGTGCCCAGATCTTAATCATCTTTTGGCTCCGGTCTGAATAATCCTCTAAATAACACAGCACAGTCAAGGCAGTAGAACCATGGTGTGTATCCGCATACTGCTAATTCCTTTTGCACTTGTCTGTACCACACAGTTTAGCACATTATTACATGTTGGCTTGTTATCCAGCTGCTCCATGTGTGTGTCTTTTCTTTCAAAACACATTCTGAGATGCTGAAGAGCCATGGCCCTGGTTTAAACAGCTCTTTATATCAGATAGTCCTTAGTATGGTATCATGCACATAATAAAGGCATTTATGCTTGTTGCTTGTATGTTCTTTTAGAAACTTCTTGGGTAAAACACCTCTTGGAAAAAGTTTCAAGACTTAATAATTTTCCATTATTCAAAGAAGGTAGATTAGTACTTAGCAAAATAACTTGGCTTGTTTTTCTTTTATAATTCGATCAAAATCACCAACTTTTTGAGGATCATGAATTTGTTAGAATTCAATAGTGGCCAGAATCAATTTGATAGTCACTTATACTAAGTCACTTCATGTTAAGCTCATAAACAGCTAACAACCTATATCATTTTTAGTAGTACTATATCCCAATATTGGCTATATCAGTCCAACTTTTAAACAATGTATTCTCATTTAATAGGATCTTTTAATTTGCAGATTAGAGTCAGATCTTCCAAAATAAAATGATATACACACATACACATACACATACACACACCATACACATACATACACACACACAAAGAGTTTTATTTATTAGAATTCACTTAACCAGGAATAAAAATACATTCTACTCTTCCAATATTGTTTCTGAAGTAAAATATCATGTGTACATATAACTAAAAAGAAACCATCATGTATTTAGTAAATTGTCACAATCCATTTTTATTTCATGTATGATATAAAAATATATAAATTCCAGTTTTTATTTTTAAGTACTCTACCTATGAGGCACAAGATTGCATATGTACTTTTTTTGGGGGGGGGGCGGGTGCTTATGTTAACGTAATTAACTTACAGATCATCAGGACAATGTCTCGGTGGCTCCAGTCTCCCTCCTGTTTGCACATAATTTAAAACATCAAGGTTGGAATGAGCTGGATAAGGCTGGTGACCAAGAGTTAAAATCTCCCAAATTAGAATTCCAAAAGACCTAAGGATATTAGAGTTTGCTTTAATTATACTTATTACAAATGTCGTGTTTACAGCAGTTTCTCCAACGTAATGTTCCTGGGACTATGGGGGTCTATTTTGTGATTGGCATTATTGGCCCTATCAAAGGCAACTGGGAGACTTAAAAGCAAGTTGACCCCAAGAAAAAGTAGAAAAAGCAACTGCCTACTAGCAACACTTAGTGGAGACACACACACACACACACACACACACACAAAATGTTGCTTCTCTTCCCTGGCTGAACCTGAACTGCAGACCTCCATTATCCAAGGCTTTTATGGTGTCAGTACGTAGACACACTTACTTAGGAGTGAGTAAGAAAGCATTTCACGGTTTTGTTTGTTTTTTTCTGAGTTTGAGTGCTAGTAAACTTAGCGAAGGCATGAATAAAAACTGGCAGCACTGAAGAACTAATTTTATTTCATCACCCATTTTGCCTAGGGCCAGTTCAGCGCAACCATTATTGAACAAATCTTTACATTTTGAGCAGCTCTAATCAAAGTTTGGGGTCAACAAGCAAAAATGATGAGCTCTATTCAAATAATAAAAAGTTATCTAAACCTCCTCCATGTCCTAATCTTTTCAAGATTCATGATTTAAAGTCTACTTATAAATTAATGATCAAACATCCCAAAATAGCTGGCATCTGGACACATACTTGGACATTAATTCATAAGTACCAATTTCTATTAGTCATAGCCTCTACACTTTGGGAGAATAATAAAATACCTGAAGTAAACGTAGGTATTTCATATACACTAGTAAGATAAAGGATCAAAACTGATTGGGGAGAAGTCTCTAAACTTCTGAGACCCAGGAATAGTCCCACCTTAGCACCAGCTTTTACTTTACTTAAGGCAAATCAAAACCTCTCTGGTCTTCTGTTTTCTCACATAAAAAACAGGATTAGATAACCTTTGAAGATCCCTTTTGGCTCTGACATGAGATGGTTCTTCCCACGTTTCTCTGTATCCTGTTAAGCTCACCACACATCAGACTGAGTCGTGAAGATTCCATCTATCAAACTTTCTGGAGCCATCCACCGAACAGGGAGCAGACCTTCTCCTCTCTTCCTATAGTAATCATTTTTATAGATGTCCCTCGCAAGTCCAAAGTCCCCAATCTTCACTATCCGTGATGGGCTGCTGTAGTCTTTCACAGAGACGAGGCAATTCCGAGCTGCCAGATCCCTACAACAGAAGCTATATTTAATAATAATAATAATATAATAATAATAATAAACATGATGATGTTCCAGAGATCAGACAAATTGTACTAGTATGTCTATAAAAGAGAGAATTTTTACAGAAATTGTTGTTATTTTGAAAGAATGAAAATGTTTAATTATCTTGTATGTTTTACCTAAACTACAGATGATTATTGTGCCCATATCCATAAAAACTTTGTATCCAGGATATCACTGTACCTGTGAATGAAGTGCAGCTGCTCCAAGTAGACACAGCCTTTTGAAATATCTACACACAGGTCTACAAGGTCAACCAAGGTGAGTAAAGGACCATGAAACTGTAAGAAATAAAAGATTATAGGTACTTCTCCAGTTTGCACAAAATACACACACTATACACACATATATAAATAAATGCCTCCATATTTGCACATGTACACACACTCATACATATATATTGTTTTAAAGGAATTTTTAGTTATGGTTACAATAATTCAAGCAAAGAGGAAAAGAACTAAACTTATATGCTTTCTGCCCAAATGTACATAAATATTTAGTAAGCAGAGGCAGTATGGGATCTTTGTTGGAAAGATCTCAGGGTATTAGTTCAGACAGACCAAGATTTGAAACTCAATTCTGCTACTTACTTGTTGTATGAACTTGCTTATTTTGCTTTATTAACTCAACTTTCTCACAGGTAAAATGGAAATAATAATCCTGATTGTGTAGGATTTGAGGTAAGATATGTAATCTTGCTGGTATATAAAAGGCACTTAATAAACAACAACTGCTCTCATAAGTAGTAATAATGATAATTTAATCAATGCTAGCTAGTTTAGTCTTTGGCTCAATGTCACACTATAATATTAGTCATGACCATGGGCTCATTCCTCATATGAACCCCATATAAATTGTCAGCAATACAGACTCTATTTCAAGGTGACAGATTACTCCACTTATGTAAGAAATCCAGCACAAATAAACTGAACCTGTACTGGCTAGAATGATCTTTACATGAAAAATGCCAGTTGAAGCTTTTATTAGAACCATATGGTAAAAATTCAAAGTTCCTGCCAGGAAGCTACATTTACATACTGTCTGTCCCTCGCCATTTCCCTGCAATTACCCTGGTTCAGGCCTTTATCATCCCTGACTCATCTCAAACTTCCCATGTCTCCAGCCTCCTGTGCTTTAATTAGTGCCTTTCATTACAACCCACTGCTGGTAAGGTCGATTACAGAGTCCTGAGTACAACCCCCACGGCAGCCCCAGGCTGCACCAACCTCTCCTCATATCCATTTATTTCCCATTGTTTCTTTTCTCACCATCTGTGCTTCTCTCACACTGGGAACTTGTGGGGTTTTATACCTTCTCTGAATATCTCAGCTTCTCTTCTATATTCCTGATATCATTGTTTCCTGGAATGCCCTCCTCATCCTTGATTTACATCCACATCTTTCACTGAGCATCCATAATGATTCCCAATCTTGAAATCCCTCAATTCCTCATAGACAAGTACTCTTAAGTGCTGCTCCCTCTGCCTCCCCTAGCAAGCTCATGCCTTGTCCTTCAAGTAGGAAGATTTCTGATATCTGGGATTCAACACTGCCATGGTTCTGCTCAACCACACTGAGGTCTGATTACTAGGCTAGACCTTGCTTCCAAGAATCAGTCCCCTGCAACCCTATTCTCGTCCACTAGATGTCTCACAGTCTGGGTCTGAGTACCTGCCAGGTATCCCAGCTGGTTTACTGGTTCCTCTGTGAATGAAACTCTGCTTTGCTCTTAACAAAACCTACCCTACTTGTAAGGACTCTCTTCACAGAGAATCTTGCTCCTGAACTTTAGTCTAGCAGTTAGCGCCCTGTTTCAGAATGCTGCCTGACTGCCTGCCTGCCTGCCTGCCTGCCTGGATCTCTATCACTTACTCCCGAAAGCCCCTGTGACAGTCTGTTAGGACATTTCATCACCCCTTGTTGTACTACCTCCACTCCAGATGCTGCCCTGGGCTACCATCTATCATCTTTTGCTAAACCCTCCAGACACACTGAATTTCCATTCCGGTCTGTCCCTGGTCAGAGCCTTCCATGACTCATGTGGGTGTAGTTTCAGAGACTGTTCTGTCTCCCGCCTTGGTTATGTCTCCTCCATGAAGCCTTCCCAAGACTTCTCAGGTGGAAATTTCTCTCTCCTCTATGCTTCAGTAGTATATTCTCTACTCTATTCTAATGGGCCCTCCCACTTTCCATCATAAATGAGGTTATTAATATGTGACTTCCCTCCCCACCATGTGGCAAGTTTCTTGAGAGCAAGAGCCACATCCTTCACAGTTGTACAATAAACACTGAGCAAATATTTGATGAATTCAATTGTTTCTGGATATGTATTTGTATTATTCCAATAGCTTGGTTGTTTGTTTTTACTTTGTTTTTACTTTCTGTACCTTAATATAGTCTTAGAAAACTCCTGAGGGAGTTTTTGATTTGATATCCCATTTTATAGATGCAGAAACTGAGACCCTGAGAATAAAAGAATAGAATAAGGTTTATGGGCCTAGTTGCAGTCAATTTCTATGCAGTCAACCCAACAATATAGTCCCAGCATAGGGATAAGAAGGACGTTTGTGGTTCTGCTAGAACGCTGCTCTGAGCCCTTTCAGTGGAGAGATGGATGGCCAAATGAACTGTGCATGATGAGGGCTCAGAGCCTGTGGTGTTCCGCTAAGGTCCCTGAACCTTATTTCTGGCACTCGGCACCTAATAGCACCCTGTCCTGTATGACCAGAATGAGGGAGATCAAGCACGGAAGCTGTCCTGCACAGGTGGCAGGAAAAGCAGTAGAAGAACTGAAGTGCACTTGAGAAGTAATTATTATAATCATCAGGACCCTGGATGAATAGGAATAATTTGCAAAAAGCAGATCTATGTTTTCTTTTAGTCTATCTTCATCTTCTCTCCTCAAAAAAAAAAAAAAAAAAAAAAAAAAAAAACTACAGCTAAATTTTCTTATTAAAGATGAAGGACTGATGCATTTTTGGTTTCACGGTTTCACTCTCTCCCCAAACCTTACTGAAATGACAGTAGAAGGGAAGTTTTTATAATCTCACAATACAAATAGATCAGAAGATTAGGTATAGCACAATGAAACATTTTGGAAGACGGAAAGCAGATGGAGAAGTGGGAATTCAGAGGAGCCAACAGAAGTGAAAGCTGACCGCCCGCAGAGGGAGAAGATAAGGATTAAGCTGTTTTCACTACAGAACCCCATAAAGGCTCTGGAATTGGAGGTAGCAAGTATCTCTGAATGTAGGGGGAGTGGCAGGACTGAAAGCAAGAGGAATGTTTAGAAGTTTATTTTAAGGGGTGACTAAATCCTAGATCTCCCCACCACGGCAGGAGGCTTTCCTCTGCAGGAAACAGGCACATGTGCATGGAACACAGAAACACACACACACACACACACACACACACACACACACAGAGTGGCACCATATTCAAAGATACCAGTCATATTAAGGCACTGTGCTGAAAATGGAGAGGGGAACTAAATGAGTATGCATGTGCTGAGCCTTGAGACCTCCAGCCCCCTTCAGCATCTTGACTCCCTGAACTGAGGCTTAGGCTCTACTGCCCAGTCAGGAAACCAGCAGGTTGCTCTCTGGCATATGCTAGGGAAGACATCCAATGCTGTCATGAGGGGACCCACAATGGAACAGCAGGGTCCGATCTGACAACCAAAAGGAAGCTGTCACAGCCACGTAGGTTCTAGTCAGCTCCTTAGACCTTACTATTAAATATGAAGACCACATAGGTTCTAGTCAGCTCCTTAGGCCTTATTATTAAATATGAAGAATTACCCAACATTTGAGAAATTCCCACATTACAAACAGATCCCAGAACAAAGAAGAAAGGAAATCAGGACAGTGCAGAAAGAAAATTAACTACTTTTAAAAACTATAAAGTAGTATCCTAGCGAAATAAGAAAAATAAGAAAAGATTTTGCATGAATGAAATAAAAAACAGAAAATAATTTTAAGATGTGGTCAAAAGAACAAGTCTGTATGAAATTAAAATTTTAAGTTCTATAAAACAGAAAATCTATCAGAATTGAGAGCAAAAGGACAGTTGGAAAATAAGAGAGAACAGCTAATATGACAAAAGGATAAAGCAAAGCAAGCAGTCCATTATCTAACTAATAGGGTTTCTAGAACAAGGAAATTTTAAGGAACAAAGTGTTTTATTTACTATCAAAGAACTAATATGAAAAAAAATTTCTGGAGCTGAAAAGAACGTTTTTTTCCCAGGTGAGTGTTGAGATGGGTGAAAAGTACCATAGATAAGGAGAGGTTCCTCAAGTTTTCCAAAGAGGAGGGGCAAAAAGCAGGTCTCTGATCATAAGTCCAGGAATCAAAATGACAATTGTAAAAGCTAGAAAACATAAATGTCATGGATTTATTGTTGAAGAAAGGGGGTTTTCAACCTAGAATCAGCCAAATTATTAATCCAGTGGGAGGGAAGAATAAAGCACATTTTCTCAAAGAAAGAAAGGGGGTGGGAAAAAAGGAACCCCCCCGCTCCTTAAAATCATAGAATAGAGGAAACAAAGGTCCAACGTGGAAATTACCAGGGTAAATGTGAAGGAAACTCCTTGTATCATAGCTGTGTAGACAGCCCAGAGAACAAGCACCCGTATTGGCCCGAGGTTGGAAGTGCCCAAGAAAAAAATGTTTGGTGCTAGATTATCTGATATATTTAACCATATTGAGAAAAGAGTTAGGAAGTTTAGGTATATAGAAAACTAAATGGGGGGGTGGGTGGTGGAAGAAACACTTATTAAACTATCCTAAGGAAAAAAACACAATCATAGCATTTGAGTAATTTGGCTACAAATAATAATTACACAGTCAAAGTAATGTAAACCTGCAATATTGATTTATCTGAACATTGTGGTACGGTCAGAGGATGGGAGAAACAAAGTTTTTCTGTGTGTAGAGCTGGTGGGGTTTGGGCTGGTAAATGAATAAGTCTAGGAGAGTTAAATCTTCATTTTTTATAGTAGGCAGGTAATAGATTTCCCCCAGGATTGACAAATTAATATGCAGTATAAGCAGAGTATTCATTTAGAAACCTAGAAGTAAGTATCATGAGAAATGTGTTGATGCCTGATATGTGGGGATTAAATAGCATTTGGGATTAGATAATGAAAAACACTATAAACCTTGTCATACCTTTAAATTTTTTAGCTACATACTATGTAATTCAATAGAAATGAAAACCATTTTTTTTAAACTACAGATTTAAATTTTAGTTACTTGTTTTGTCTCATATGTTTCTCATCTAATGAATAAAGTCCGTTCCTCCAGGTGCTGTCACCCCCTGGCACTCATTCCACAGTACTTCCAGTGTCCACTGTGCCAGGCACTGCTCTAGACACTGGGAAGAAAACAGAGAATGTATTTGGAGCTGCATTTTGTCAGCAGAACTGTGGAGCTGTCAGGAACTATTAGTGTGGCTGTAGGAAAAGAGCAAGGAATTGAATGGATGGCTTGGGAAAGGATGTATGAAATCAAGTTTTGTTTTGCCTCAATTAAGTATGAGCTGCCTATTAAAATCCAAACAGATATGTCAACTGGTAGGGACATAAAGTCTAGTACTCAGTAAAGACATAGGGCTGGAAATATCAATTTGAGATACATATAGATTCACTACAAAGAAGGATGTGCCTTTTCCAATGCCACATAATCTCTGTTCTCCAGAAAACATGTTTCTGGCAGTGAGGGACCTATTTTCCTGTAAAATACTAAAAATAGGTTCAAATAACCAGAAAATTCTAGAAATTAGTCCAGGGTGCTAATTGTTCTAATCCAACATGAAGGAAATCTAAGAATTCTTTCCTAGAAAGTTTTCTAAGGTTCTATCATTGGCCAAAACTGCAACCTACTGGATTTAAAAAAAATTAATAGGACATTACAGGGTATTTGCATTACAAAACCAATACTGTGGACCCCATTTCCTACCGCTTTCATCCGGGCTTTACGCAAATAGGTGAGAAGGTCTCCTCCTTCCATCAGTTCCAGGATAATGTATTGGGGTTCATTTAGCAGGCAAACTCCAAGCTGCTTCAGAATGTTGGGATGATTAAACTTGCTAAAAGATGGAAAAAGACAGGCGGGATGACATGACAGCGATAGAAGTCCTATCTGAGGGCCTTTGTGGAATAGAGCAATTGCTTATCTATAGTTTCTGTCAAAACAAATGATTTTTTTTTTTTCTCTAATAAATGAAAGCTGCCTTTTCCAAGCGTTGGTTTGTGTGCTTGCCTTACAAAGGTAATACGGCAACCCCTAGTGGCCAATGCATACAGATAGAATAGGGTGAATTTTAGAAGAAATCACATTTATATTATTTTATATTTTGAAAAAGAGAGTAATTTTAACTAACGTCCTTCTTCAAAAGATAGTTGAAAACTATATTTTGGATCATCACAAGTATGAGATATTCTCTTTTTTTTTTTTAAGAAACAATTCAGACAAGCAGGTTTGGCTACAACTGTTTTCTCAAGAAGTCAGAAGCAAGTAAGCCCTGATCTAATAACACAGCTTGGGACCTCATTGACTACTGCCTGGGTCTTCCCTTTACGATGCCTTTGAGCCATTTTCATGGTCATCAACTGACTTTAACCTTGAGATAAGTTATTAAGACAAGGGATATTTTCATTGGTATTACTGTACTTAGGAGAATTCTCTCATACTTGGTCTACTACGCATTATTACACATTTAGAACATAAGCATATTTAAAGCTGAACAGCTTCAGAAGTCATTTACAATACACACTTCTTTTTTTTCTAGTGCAAATTTAATTTTATTAAACCTTATAATGAATGTTGTTGCTGTTTGTTTCCTTTGGTTTTGTTAAGAAAGAAAAATGTTTTGCCTAAGCACTACCTATGCCCAGGCTCAGAAGACTAGCTTTCATAGAATACTTGTCACTATAGACATGTTTCTGTTTAAACTTCAGCCATGTTCATTTTGGGCAAGATCTGTTACGTCAAGTCATTTTGAATGTTAAAAATCCACCAGTCAGCTGTAAAAGTTTCCTGCCCATACCAAGCAAGAATCATTTCAGAGCTGCCCTGATACCTCATCAGATGTGCCTCCTTCAGGAATTCAATCTTCTCCTGGTCTGTGGAGCCCTTCTTCAAAGTCTGTGCAATGTAAAAGAAAGCTGGGAATCAGTAGAGCAGACATTCCTGTGAGCTCAGTGGGTTAATGGAGACAATCTTTGTTTCGTTTTGTAATATCTACCCTGAAAGCTTGAAACAGATAATGGATAATGCATGTGCGTGTGTTCTGCAAGCCTATTCAAAAGTTAGCTCTTGTTACTGAAAGTATTTAAGTAGGAAAATCTGATAGATAAAAGATCTAGTAATATTTACACAAAGTCTCTTAAAATGTAGAAATTTTAAAAGGAGAACAAATTTGACATGTAGGCAAATTTCTTAATTTTTCAGTTTTCTACCTAATATCTATTTTCCCCTGCTTCCTTGTTAACAATACCCTAATCTGTTTCTTAAAGATAAGGTACCCACTCTCAGACCATTGATTTAAGGTAATCATGAAAATCGTGTTCTACAATTCTCCACCCTCTCTTGCAAATAAGGCTCAGTTCTGGTCAATGAATTCTCTGGCCTGTATGAAGATGCAATGCCAGATTCTTTGATAACCATCTTGGGACCATGAGGTAACACACATGCACAAAGTCAAAAGAATTTCAGATATAATGGCTCTGACCTGACAGCCCTGAAACCAGCAGTCATCTTGTTATGTGAGAAAAAGAAACGCTTATTTAAACCAGTTGAGAGAATTTTGCCAACTTTTCTGGTTGTATAGCATACCCTTAGAGTAATAAATTCCTAACAAGCTTTGAGCAAGATATTGTTCAATTACATAAAAGACTCATCATCCCTCAATCAAAAGAAAATTTTACAAAAATCTGAGAGTATATCCAGCGCTTCCTTAAAATGACATTAAATATACCATGATGAATAATTGTGTAGTATAGGGGTCAACAAACTAGAGCCTGTGGACCAAATTCATCCTGTCACCTATTTTTGTACAGCTTGCAATCTGAAAATAGTTGTTACATTTTTATTTTATTTTATTTTCCAGCTTTATTGAGGTATAACTGACATGCTACATTTTCGAATGGTTGAAAAAAGTATAAAAAAGAATGATATTTCATTACACATGAAAATTATATGAAATTCAAATTTCAGTTTTCATAAGTAAAATTTACCTGGAACATAACCACACTCATTGGTTTACAAGACTATGGCACTTTTGCACTGCAATGGTAGAGTTGCATAGTTGCAAATGACATGATATGGCCAGCAAGCCTAAAATATTTACAATCTGCCCTATTCCTAGTACTTTGAGAATGTGCTTAACAACCCCATCTTTATTATATTTGAAGAGCAGAAACTGTCTGCTGGGTCTTAACTAATTAGTAATCAAAGAGGTTACTATTAATTACAGAGCTTATGTAGGAAATGGAAGAAAAACATAGTGATTTCTGTAGCCATGGACAGGCTCCTACCTTCTGCCAGTTCCTTCTTCTATCTATGTAAATCAAGGTAAACATGCTTACATAACATGTCAAAGAGTTAAAAGATCCACATTACCTTCACTGCTACTTTGGTTTCTCCACTTCCAACTCCTAAGATGTCTACTGCTGTCCCTTCATACACTTCTCCAAAGGCACCACTTCCCAATAAGAGACGCAGAGTCAGTTTTTCCCGAGGGAACGCAGGAAGACTTTCAATCTCCTCTTGGGTCGGAAGAGTACTAGAAAATAAGAATATTTTTGGTCTCCCAAAATATATATGATTTACAATGGTTAGTGTTTAAGAGAGAAAGAGAAATCACATGGCTTGCAATGCTTTAGTACATTCTAGGTGATACAGTGACATAAAATTTTGAATTCCTATTCCTCCCTATTCTATCATTCAGAATATTCCTTCCCTATCCCCAAAACCAAACAGACCATGTCGCTTAGCTTCTAGCACCTTCATTTTGATAGACACATGCCTGTGCTTGCATTGCCTCAAGATCTTCAACTATACCTTCTTTTGTTAAAGTTATCAATTATTAATTTCTTTAGGTTACCTATGGTGTAAACAGCTATTGCAAACTAGTCATAAATACATCTGGATATATGAGCTAAAAAGCTTTTATTTTAACTATTTCACACATCTGATTTCTTATGTAAAAAAAATTTCCTATGACCACAAAAACCAACTCCATCACTATCAGGTTAACTTTTAAAAAGCCAAGCCTTTTACTTTTAATATTATAAGGTGAAAAAAATGCTTCTGCTTTAAAACCTTTGAATGTTTAAAAGAGAATCTTGAATGTCAGATGTGCTGAGTATTTTCTCAAGGAAAAGTCACCTCTAAATAGCTAATTTAGACCACTTCTGTGTCTACGTCAAATCCTTTATTTTTATGTCTTGTATTATAAATTCCAAGGCCTATGACTACATAATTCCTTTTTGTATAGACGAGAATATAGTGTATTATATAAAAAGACATTTAAATGTTTTCTTTAGTCATGAAGACAACAGAAATTCAAAACTGATCTAGCTTAAAGAGTTTTTTGAGGCAATCCCCATACAACTTCTGAAAACAGAATTAAATTGCCTTAATAGCAAACACACAAGACCTTTGAAATTCCTCTCTTCCAGTTGCTTCCATCTGAACCAATCATGTTACTATCTACTCTCTTCGACATAGTATTTAAATCCTTGTTTCATTTATTTTTGAACTACATGATAAAACACTGGAAAACAATTGATTTTTGCTTGTTTTCCTTAGGATAGGATACCCACGTCATTTGCCATCCATCCCAGGTCACATCTGAGAGTGGAAGGGTGTATTATTAATAATTGTGCTAGACTAATGGGCATAAACCAGGATACCCCTGCCCGCTCTTCGTCTACATGCCCCATGACGACGGCCCTAGTCACGCACTGTATTGCATAGCAGGCGTTAGCCAGTCCTACTCCAGCTGCCAGACCTCGCAGCTCAGCCAATTCTTTGTCTTCGTTTATGAGAACTGTCAGCCTTTCCTTGGGAGTTTTTTGATTCTTTAGTCTTCTATGCCAGACTACAAAGAAAAAAGACATAATTTGCAAATAAAGCATTGCTTCCTTTTCCCTTTAGAAAATGTTAACAGTACATTTTAAGCATTTATATATAAGAACATTATTGGTACAACAGAATTTGATTGAAAAATATGCCCATAATAGAAAAACTAATTAAGTCTAGGTACAAAGCTATATAAAAACACATAATTTATACCATCTCACTTTTCATCTCAGTTTCAGAGTAGTTTCATATATTTCTTATTGCTCTTATAAACAAGTTGAAGCATCTTAATATCACAGCTTCTCAAAATCACCCATGAACCAGGGTCAAAATAAACCAAAACACAGTTGCATAATAATTATTAGTGAAACAAATTCATTTCTGAGTCCAGATATGTCCAAGTTATACTTCTCAGTAGACCTGAGGAATGCTTTCAATAAAATGGCATGCCTTTTAAAAAATGCAAAATACAAGAGCACATATCTATTGTTGCTCATATTCATATATACGAATACAGAGAAAAATTATTGGAATGAAACCTGTCAAATGTTAGCAGTTGTTTCCCTAGTTGTGGGTGATTTGTATTATATTCTTCATATAATGAGTGGATATTATTTTTATAATCATAAAAATAAATGATATTTTTGAAGATTAAAGTACAATTATGTCAATAAGGTGATCCATCTATGCAAGAATATTGGCTCAAAAGCTGAAAACAGCAAGGATGCTTTGTGAAATGGTCATGAAAATCTGAAATTTATTCCATAGTAGCTTCTGTACTCAACAAGTTAGAGTTTTAGTCAAGTGAAATTCCATCTGAGGGACCACACAAGGAAAGATCTTAAGTATTTTTGCTAATGCAATTTCTCAAACCTGAAATGTTCTCAGTAACCTTCTTAGTTTTTAAAGGCACAGGTTAAGCACCCTTCCCTCCCATCTTCAGTGATGCCTTCTGAGACCTCTGCAACCTCTTCTTTCTGAACTTATAAGGCTAATTGTGGCTCTCAGTGAGCACTCTGTCACTATCATATGTAATTCGATTACCGTTGCCTTTTACTGGGTAGCACATATTTCATTATTTGTCTTTTCACACAGATCAGTCTTACTTCTTGAATTAAATGGCAAGTTCGCTAGGTCAGCAATCATGTTTTACACTTTATCATTCCCTCTGCTCTCAGCATATGGCTAATGTTGCACATTAGATATGACCACTCACCAAAGCAAAGGATGTCAATGCTTATTTTTAAACACTTGATTCGACTTTATATTCATAAATATCAGACTGAGGAGAGCTCTCAGCACAATACAAATTTTAAGACAATTTCTATTTTCCATTATTTTAAGAATTCAGTCTTTTCTCATGCACTTACACACTCCTATTAATAAAACCACATGCACTGCTACAAAAGCAAATAACCAGATTAGCTTAGCTATACTCAAAAATCTGTGAGTTCCAAATAGAATAAAGACCTTTAAGTCCTGAGAAAGTCAGATATCCATAAGATGTCTTGAAAGCACAATAGGTTGTCTGAGATTATCTCATGTTCATCCACTAGAGTTAGGGTTTAAACAATGGTGATGTACAAGTAGGCAGGCAAAGGTCAGATGAAAGATTCTTCATGTAATACTTCTTCCCAGTAGGAAAGCAGACAAGCAGTCAAGCCTATATGCCAATTTCCAAATATACTGCAGTCATATGTGTAATTCTGGAGGGGCTGGCTTAGTGGCACAAACATCAGCTGTGCAATACGTAGACTCCCTGGCAGAGTCAGCTGAAATTTTTAGCTTTCCAAGTTTGCTGGAGTTCCATATATTATCTGGGTAAAATATGTGAAAACAAATTTCAAGTCAATTTTCAATGTGCTCTCCAATAGCTCATGACTCCAGTTCGTTTGGGAAAAGAATAAAGATTTAGAACACTGAACAAAATATTGGCTTCTTTTATCCTGAGAGAGTTCAACTTTGTTTGTGACTTTTCCTTATTTTTGAAAAAATAAGCCATAATTTTCTGAATATGTGTGTGAGTTTTCTTTTCTGGTAAAAATCATGCCTCTCTTGTAATATTTCAGCTCGTCAGGGACTTATAATGTTAATAGGGCAACCATACATTTTATAATCCAAACCAGGACATTTTAGGTCTGAAAGAACGTGATATCAATGTTTATGCTGAAACAATAGGAATGAACCAGGATTTATGATCACCATAATTACCCTGCAGGCCCAATATCTGACCAATTCTTTTGAGATTATCACTGTATTTTTTCATCATTAAAATGATTTTTTTAAAAAAGAGTTTTAGGATAAGCATATTAGCATAAAATGAATAGTGGAAAAAAGATAGTTTTCTATCTACCTAACTTTATCCTTCTGCTTTCATGGTCATTTATAAATGAACAGAGATTTGAGATAAGCAAGTCAGACATCTAAAAGTAAGAGTGAATCCTACAAGCCAGAAATGGATCTTCTGCAATAGAGGCCCTGCTCATTCCAATCCAGGCTGTCTGCCTAGAGACTCAAACTATTCCAACCAAGGACTGTCACTGGTCTCCTATTAATCCTACACTTTTTTTTTTATACCCAGAGTAATTTTTTAAAATTTATTTCAAACTACAAGCCACAAAACACTTGTGACATAGCCAATCATAAACAAATTCTGTTTTAAAGAAAGTTAAAGTCAGTGTCCTTATAAGCAGTTTAATCTAAAGTATACCACAAAATGTAAATACAGATATATTGTTCAGAAAATAATTATCCTTAAATCTAGAAAACAATTCACAAAAGATAATGGTTAAGAAAGTATAGCCAAAGGTAACATTGTGAATTTTATAAATTTATTTCATGTGAGAGATTACATAAACTAAGAGATAAATCAATTAGTATAATCAAGTAAACATTTTACTACCCATTTTTAAAAATCGATATTACTCACCAAAGATCAATGGCATTATAATAACCAGAAATATTCCAATTATAATAGACAGTATAAAGCTTGTTTCTGGTATCCAAAAACCATCTAATAAAATAAATGAGAAAAAAATTAATTCACAGAATAAAGCTAGATAGTCCCAGAGATCTGCCAGATATACCAGAACTAGCTCCTAAAAGATTTTTGCAAGCCAGTTAAGCCATATAACTTGAAATAATCAATGATGAGTGTATTTACACCATGGGAAATCAAAATCAAGGTTTTTTCACTTTTTTTTCCCCAAAGAGCCAGTTAACCAACCCGCCATAAGGACATATCTACCCAGTTTTCTACTGTAAAGTGACTGAGAAAACAGGTATAATTTTTTTAATGAATTGAAGACAAAGAAGTCTCAGTCTTCATTATTATGTAGTTGGGATTATTTCTTCTTCTATACTATCTGCATGTACATTTAATCCCATGGGTATTCAACTAAGGAATATAAACATAAAAACATGGTACCTTCTCTTAGGTTGAATAGAGGAGATAAACATGTAGACAGAGCTTGGCAAATTATGGCCTATGGGCTAAATCTGGCCATAGTCTGATTTTGTCCATGGGCTAAGAATGATTTTTAAAGTATTATTTAAAAAAAAAAAGAAGAAGAAAAAGAAAAAATATGCTCTAGAGACTGGATATAGCCTCCAAAGCTAAAATATTTAGTATTTGGTTCTTTTCAGAAAAAATTTGCTTAGCTCTTATCCAGATAATTAACTATAATATAAATAAGAATGATATGTTTTATGTAGCATAATGGGCTGTGTATATGTAAAATGTAGTACTTTTTTTGCCTAAGGAGCGTCAGTTAAATATCACGATGAGTTCATTTAAGTTAGGCCTTGAAGGATGAGAAAAATCTGAATTGACAGAATATGAAGGAAAGGAAATCCCACCTAACAGGATAAAACGTAGCTTGTGGGGACCTGCATTCTAAACTGAAGGAAACAAAGGCTGAAGACCTACGGTTATAAAAGATATTTACCAGTATGACATGGCTACAGTATAGTAACAAATATTGGGAAAGGTGAACCACAGTTGAAGGACAAATCACAGAAGGCCTTAAATGCCACACAAAAATTTGTACGTGGTTCTGAAGGCAGTGAATAGAGAGCCATTTCAGGCACTTCAGAGAGGAGTTAAGTGATCCAGCTGTGCTTTGGCTAGATTAACTGTCAGCATATGATTAAGCCAAGAGCACAGGCAAGAAACGATAACTTAAATAAGGAAAGCCGATTAGGAAATAGAAAGATGGAAACTCATCAGACAGAAATCAAGATGGTAAAACAATGGAACTTGGTGACTGAGAAGGGGGGAAAAAATAAAGAGGCTAGAGGTTTCTAGCCTATGCGATAAAAAAGATGACATATCATAAACTAAAGCAGAATACACAGTGGAAGATGTAAATATTGGGGAAGAGGCAAAGTATAATTTTACACCTGTTGTGTAGAAGATGAGAGTACCAGGAACCTAATAACAAGGACAGCCTTGGAAGTCTATCTAGGACCATACACTTGATGAAGTGGGCACTAAGGAGTAGCTAATGATCACTGAGAAGAAAAATGTCATCATGATATTGATATTTGAAGAAGATAACATCAGAGCAAATGAATAGTTCAGTAGTTTGAATAATAAGTAATACAGTCACCCAATTTATTGCCAATGTTAAGAATATCCTACCTTAACTCTGAGACTTGGTGTAATAAGTTAGTATATAGATAGACATGGTAACATACCTCCAGCTAACATGATATTCTCACTGATTCCACTATATTCACCAAATCCCAGATTATTTGCAGCTACTACTCTGAACTGAAATGTTCCTTTCAGATTTTTGGACCTCCATGTGCAAATGCTATTGCAGGATCCATTAAATGCCATCTTCCACATTAAATTCTGGTTCTGTGAATCATTCGAAGTATACTTTCTGAAAAAGAAAGAGTAAAATTATGAACATAGAAAATATATGAGACAACATATATGTTACTTCTAGATGCTCATATATCATTTTAATGACAGAACTCCAGAGCATCTCTTATTGCACACTTTACCCTTGATCTCACTATTCTCACATGTTTTGGCCACAGAACACAGTATGGTGTTGTAAAGTCATCCCAACAATACATAGAGCCAACCGATTCAGCCCATCAGGAAAATAATGAATAATCAATTGCTAAGAGAAGCTGAAGTGCCTTTTCTTACTATCAGAATGTGTAAACCTTCTTCAGAATTCCAAAAACATATGACAATGTCTGTAATTTTTAACTGGGAATTTTTAAAATTTCTTCTTAATTCTCAGTCTCTATGCACCTATAGTTTACGTATACCACATCTGGATAAAATAATATACACATCTGGATAAAATTGATAAGAAAGGTGTAATAGCTCAGCTACTAAAGTTATTGTTACATTTGAGATCCCATGTTTCATTGTTGCCATTTGTATTAGCCTATACTCCCCTCAAAGTCAATCTACATTATTCTTCATATGAAACATGGAAAGAGCACAAGAGCTTCATTTAAAAGATGTAACTAGAATGGCTTTTAACAGAATCATAGACTGAAGGCCTTCCACTTATGTCTTCTCTGACAACAAAAAGTCGGAAACTTTTCAGACCACAACAGTTTTAGGACTTGGTATCAACTCACAGTAAGGTTGGAGGTATGTCATGAAAACCAGCCCTGCTCCTGAAAGAGTGCTCATCCTGGAAGAGCAACAAGGACAGCAAAGGCTAAGCCAGCGAGGGACGGGAAAAGGGCAATAACATCAGGAGGATCAGGGCAGAGGAGTTGGGCACAACCGATACCAGGAGCTGAGTGTCCTAGGGACCATCCTGAGTAAGCTTTAAGACGCACTGTTTTTGTAGATTTTGCTAAATCTCATGTTAGGATTAGCAATTTTATAGTATGACCCAAACAACTCTGATCCAAAAGAAAGAGATCCTTAAAATTTTATAAAATGGCTGTTGGCCACTGAGAAAGAGAAGGAAGAATTCTGACACTGGTTGAACACCTATTCACAATACACCATACTGGTGCTTTTCATATGTCATTTCTTTTCATTGAGTCTTCACAACAACCTGAAGAGGTAGATATCATCATCCCATTTTACAGATAAGAAAACAGAAGTTCAAAAACGGAATAAAGCAAGCAGTTAAACATGTTCTGTGTACTGGGTTAAATAGTCTCCCCCCAAAACTCATGCCACGCCAGACCCTGTGAATACGGCCTTGTTTGGAAATAGGGTCTTTTCAGATGTGATCAAGTTAAAGAGATCATATTGAATTAAAATAGACTCAAACACAATGACCAATGTCCTCTTAAGAAGACAGAATTTAGGCACAGACACACACATGAAGAACATCATGTGATGACAGAGCCAGAGACTGGAGTGAGGCATCTACAAGGCAAGGAATTCCAAGCATTGATGGCAATCACCAGAAGCTAATAAGAAGCAGGAAAAGATTCTTTCCTAGAACCTTCAGAAGGAGTGTGGTCCTACTGACACCTTGATTTTAGACTTCCCATCTCCAGAACTTAAGAGAATAAATGTCTGTTGTTTTAAGCCACCCAGTTGGTGGTACTTTGTTACGACAGCCCTAGGAAACCAATACAGTTTGTTCAGCTCCCAAGTTCACGAACTTAGCACTATCACTACCACTGTACTTATAACACAGGGTATACTAGAGTGTCCTGACTGAAGAAGTGACTTTGCAATACTAAAGGTAGAGCAACTCACTATTATCTCATCGTTCCTGGACTGAGACTAGAAACTTGGAGCAATGAAATGCAAAGTATTTATGGAGCTATGCATTTAAGGTGTTACTGAAGGGAACATGCTAAAGGAGTCCTAGCAAGACCATGGTGAGGCCTGGCTGGTGAACATAATTAGAGTCACAGTTCTGAAGGTCAGAATATATTTATTCTGCATGAAAAATAGTAACAGAAATTTCAAGAAGGTTTCAGTTAGAAATGTGGCTAACGTAATTCTCTAGCGTGACCAGGAAAATTTTTTAAGGTAATGGGAATGCCAGAGCAAGATGAAGCAAAAATAGATCTAAAGCTCAAGTAGCCAGGACTATAATTATGGAAGTGACTTTTGTCCTTGGATCTTCTTAAAAGATGGCTTCATAGTCCCGTGAGGGGAGTGTCTGTGGAATTTGGAATTCTCCCTTCATGTTGGCATAAAATCAGTTCATCTAAGCCAGTTATGATTCACAGAGCTCCTCATACTGGCCAGAGGTTGCATGTGTTCATCAGCTGCTTAGTTTTCATCGAAGGCACATTTTCAGTCCCTGTGAACATACTGCAAATAGTAATCTTTGCAGTAGATACAGAATCCTGTGTTATCTATACATCGCAGACCATTTCAGACCCTGATCTGATTTTACATTCTGAAAAAGACCTAGCTCATTGCCAATTTTCACTAGATATTATTCATCTTGCTAAAAAAAATTACTGTGAGAAATTTATATGCATACCATCATCTAACACCAAACATCAGCTTAGCTTCCTGAACAGGATATTAAGTAAATATTAGTTGTGTGTGCCAATGATTGAATTATTTCGATAAAGTTTTGACAAGCAGTTGTAGATTTCTGAGAAGACTACCTTATATGATCAGAGTGCCAAGGCTGGCCGCTAGGAACTGAGCAAAGAATGTAATGATGCCCTCAAGGTCCTTAAACCAAAGATCTTTTAGGTTTATTCATAAATACACATTGAAAAATACTGTTAATCCTGATCTAATAATACCTTATAATTAACTGCTGAGCTCTTTGTTGTTTACAAAGCACTTTTACAAACAGACATACCTGATCTCAAGGATATAGTACTTGAGTCTGCTTCCATTATCATAGGCTTTTTCCCACTGTATTGAATTTTTACTCCCTTCTAATAACTTTGGAATTCCTGGTTTACTTGGGACTCCAGCTTTGGAAACAAAAGAAAATACTGATTGATTAGAAGTATAAAATATTTTGCATAACATATCTGTACAGACTATATTTACTAAAAGTAAAGCCAAATACATTAAAGAAATATTCAGAAATATTCTCCTATTAGTGCATTTTTAAATGAGTATATGAAATTTTTTTTTAGTGATGGATTAGATGGATTAGTGATAGGAATTACAACATATCTTAGCTTGACACAAAATAAGTGATACAAAGAAAGAAAATATTGTACGATTTGGAGCATTTCCCCTTGATTCTTATAGGAATCAACTTGGAGTTATAGTATACCCTTTAGAACACTAATGTAATATACTTTTCAAATTTTTTATTTGTAGCATGTGGTTATAGCAGTCAGTAAGTAAGTCTTTGTTGAACACTCACTCAGTAACACTGTTTTCATTTAGTTCTTACTGGAAAATATCATATCTAAACAGGAAATCACAACACCAAAAGGCAAAATAGTTTTGCCCAGTTCAGAATCTTGCAAGACCAGGTGAATGTTATCTCATTACTGCTTGTGAAGACTCCTAACTCTTTTCAATTTCTTTGCTCAAGCTCTAGGAATAATAATTAACTCTCTTAAGAAAAATTTCAGCCTCTAGGATTGGTGAAATAAGTGATGAGAAAAAAATTGAGACACACAGTTTTCTGAGTGTTACATGTTCATACTCACCTTTTGTCTTAAAGCTTTCTGGAAGTGAGGTGCTATTTTCTCCTGTCCTATAAAGCACCACTATTCGGATATTATAGGAGGTATAAGGCTGTAGATCTGTGATGTTACAGACATAAGCAGAACCTTGGCCGCATGAAGCGTTAACATAGTAAAACTCATTGTACCTCCACTAGAAAAAGAAGTCTCAATTAACATTTTTGTTTCTTTAAGAAAACCTTCTTTAACATAGAAATTCACAAGCCAAGAAATTAAACTTTAAATAAAATATATTTTCTATTAAAAAATAATAGCTCCTTTATGAGTGTTCGATCCCCTACATCAGCCCCACCACTGACAGCCATTTTATTTTTCATGACAAGCTATAACCGACTTGAATGATCGTTCTTAGAATAAGTCCAAGGTGGGACACAGACCTTTGCAGAAGATTTAGAGCTTGACTTCTTGTTATTCTTAATTGTAGACACTTGCATTAAATCAGCATGGCTAAGACTACGATGGATCAAAACCATGATACTTTCAATTCCACGGATTTGTTAATTTCAAAATAATATTTTTATATATTCTGATTCTTGAAGAAGTCTACAGTGACTTATAGATTAAAACATTTAGTTTTTCCTCCCCAAACTCTCTTCGGACATCTAACTAGCATTTCTTATTTTTATACATAGGAAGCCTTTTAGATCCCTAAAAGGAAACTTTTAGATCCCTAAAAGGAAACTTTTAGACATCATCATTTAGCCAGTAAGTAGCAAGGTTAGAAGTTAAATACAGGAAATCTTACTCCCATTCCAGTTTAGAGTCTCTAATTATAGCTTTCTGAACTTTATATGTGTCCCTGATTTTTTAAAAATCTGTGTATTTGGACCCTTAATATCATTATTTGAAAATGGTGATTTTTTAAAGTGTACAAATAGGAAAAGACAGAGGATGTGGCGTTTTGTCAAGGGCTCTTAGTGTCTTTTCCCCAGTAGAGTTTCCTAAGAAGGTCAGCTTCCATAAATAAACCTTACTTTACATCTCCTTTTTCATTTAGCACTCACAAGGTCACATCATTTCATTGGATGAACACTTTATATTACTTTTCTATTTGGTTAGAAATGATTCTCTATACCACCTTCAGGAAGTATGCCACCTTGTTACAAAAAGAAAAGAGAAAGGGAGAACGAAGGATTGAAAAAAAAAATAGAAATGCTGATGTCAGGGACATTGTCTGATAAACTCATAATGTATCAATTCCACTGAAACACAGCCTAATGAAACAGATACATGAGATCCACAAAATTTACTCTAAACAGAGAGAGAGAAAGGGGGGTGGGGAGAGAGAAAGATTACTTTATTACTGGCTCAAAAATTTTAGCCCTTTTTGGTCCTGTCTCCTTAGTGATCTGCTATAGAAACTACCTTAGGTGAACAGTCTAGGTGGCCCAACATTCCACGTAATATAGAAATGATCAGAACTCCTTGAAATGTCAAGATGTTTGACCAAGGGTATCGCTGAAAAACTGTAGAGTACAGGGCTTATTACAGCAATGAATGTTCAGGGCAGGTGGCCAACTTGGAGAGGTTCCACAGGCTACCCCAGTAAATCACAAGGGAGTCAGGACCTTCCATTTGTCAGAGGCCAACAAGTGCAGGGGTGAAGTCTACCACAAAGGAATTTTCAAATTATTTGGGCAGGGGTGGGGTAGGAAATGGTGCAGACTATGATGTCTCAGAGACTGGAACTTCAAAAATGTTTGGTTCTATCAGGGATTTCCCTAGATAACTGAGGAAAACACAATTTTAATGGGCTTCCATGAAAAAAAATGCCAAAGCAAAATCACTTCTTTCTCTCCAGTCTTAAATTGAATATGTCATTCTTCTATATAGATATAATAAAGAAGCTATGGAATTTAAGACATAGATAGAAATTTAGCCTTGTGCTCTAATTCCCTCATTTTCTATATAAGGAATTTTGACAGAAAAGACAGAGACTAGAAGTTTATCCTTTTCTCCTTCTTTCTTTTCTAAAAGAGTATTATGTTAATTTTAAAAAATACATATTCATCTTTATCACTCACTTTCCAGAGTTTCAGTATAGAGTTATAGGCTCATTCCCAGCTGTCCTATCGTTATGAGATAGGTTCAAAATAGCTAGAACTTTCTGCATAGATATCACTCAATAACTCTCACAGAACATAGCCTTCTATTGTGCTCATCAGTTAATACTTATAGAGGTTCACACATGTAGAAATTACTGTATCAAACAATTTCAGCTTCATGATTTTCTAAGTGGTCTTTCTGGAACCTGTATCGAGCACGTGTAAGAATAGAGGAAGTTTGGGAATAAAAAGTATTGCATGAAAGTCATGAAGACTGAACCAAGCAGTCCCTGTCTGCTGTCTTTCTTCCAAATTTTGAGGAGTGGGGTGGGTGACTTAATGACTCATATTCCTTCCATGAATAGCACTCGAGTAGGACTGCTGTAGAAATGAGTCAGCTTCTGGGGTCCTCCTGTGCCTGGCTGGTGATATCTGACTCATCTTGGCGCCTGTCTGGGTCTCTGACTTCTCATCAGTAAAATGAGAGGCTCGAGATCGTCATATCTAAGGTCCTTCTCCGTTTCATTTCTTTGATCTAGGAAATGAACTTTACATCCCTCTTACTGACTTTAAACTGAACTGCATTAAGCTTACTTAAACGGATGTAAAAAAAAAAAAAAAAAAAGGTGATCCTACAATTTCTCCAATTTAACTACATTTTCATATGACCGTTCTTTTAAATAGGCAACAAATCATCATAAACATGCTCAATGGAAAAAGAACGACTAAACTATGGCCTTTGGTTTTATCAACTCAACATTCGCTATTGTTTCACATATTTCAATTTTTATCTAAAAAGTACAAAATCATAAAAAGTCTTAAACAGTAAAATTTAAAAACATCCTAGGGAGCAACTTTATTTTTAAAGAAAAGTGAGGCTAGCACTATACTGATTTGTTTTTGAGTTACAACTAAACAAAACACTCCTAGCCAATATTTACAAATGTGGACACACGAACTTACAATAGTGAAAATAAATTGTAGCAATTATAAAAACTAACTAATGCATTCTAAGCATATTAATATAAAGATCAATGTAGACTTTCCCTAGCAATGAATTAATTAGATTAATTGATACTTTAAAATTCAGTGGATATTTTTATATTGGTTAAACATTAAGATTTTTGGATAAGGAACCATTTAAAGTTTATAAACCAAGGTCGAACTGGTTTAGAATAAACTTTTTACTTCTCTCCTGTTGCTATACAGCCCTTAAATGTTTGGAAGAACATTTCTAAACAAGGTTTTGGCTTTTTCCTTGTTTATTTCTTTCATTTTTCGTTTTTCTTTTTTTGTCATAGAAAACACCAAATTGCTATGGACTTTAAACCGGAGAAACATCTAAACTAAGTAAAATATTATGAAATAAGTAAGCCATAATTTACACCCTCTTACATGGAAACTTTTAAAAGCAAATTAATCTCCCTAGGAATTCTTTCTATCAGAAATTAGTAGATAGTTTACTGCTTCTATACAGTAAACCTGAATCGATGAGTGTGGACAAATATGTTGTTGATTTATATAAGAGAATGCTCTAGAGATATACAAAATAACTTCCAATTTATTCTATAACATAAAACAGAGATTTGCATTAAAAGTGTACAATGTGTCCGTGGCCATGCCACCCTGTACAAGCCCAATCCCATCTGATCTTGGAAGCTAAGCAGGGTCGGGCCTGGTTAGTACTTGGATGGGAGACCACCTAGGAAGACCAGGTGCTATAGGCATAAAAAATAAAAAAAATAAGAGATTGTAGGCTGACAAGGTCCTTGCAATCTGTGAGGTTAAGATCCTTGCAATCTGTGAGGTTAACCAAGGGTTGAAAAAAAAAAAAAAAAAAAAAAATGTGTACAGTGTAATCTACCTTTTGGAGTTCAAACCAAAATCTGATGAGGTTAACATTAGATGGAGCCTTCCAATCTAATCGCAAACTGGTGTTCTCTGGAACCAAGGCATAAGGTTTCTCTGGTGTGTCAAACGTTTCAACGGTGACAGGATGACTCTCAGCACACCACATTTCCTCTGCATGGCAGGCCAGAACCTTTTTATAAAAAAGAACAATTGCTTAAACCTTTCAAAACCTTGCGCTCGAGAATGGCAATAAAAGCACCCAATACCCTCACTGTACCTTTAACACATATAGTTTTCCACCAGACAGTCTAGTAACAAGGAGAGAGAGCCTTCCATTTGGATATTCACTCCGTCTTAGAGGAGTCTTGGGAATTAGTGCCACATGTGAGATTGCCAATTGATAGCGGACTGACTCCTTAGGTCCATTTGGCTTGTGAGATTCTCTCCAGGATATGATGAGGCTGGTGTCTGACTGCACAGTGGTGTTAATAAGCCAAACTGCCTCTGGTACTGAAATAAATAGCAACGCATGACAAGGGATGTTGCAACAACACCGAAAGATTGAAAGAAGTAATGGGGTCTTGGTTGAGGAATAGTCATCATGTGAGCAGAATGAATGACAGATATTCCGAAGGAAAGCCAGCCTATTATATAATGATAAGTTAACAGGCTGCCTGAAACTATTTTTGCCTAATGACTAAGTCGTTCTCTGACTCCAGCTCCAAGATATGGCCGATAGTGATGAATAAACCAATTCGGGTGAGTTTTGTGAATGTCACGAGGAACATCTAAAAGAAATGGTATCACTCATATTAATTGCCACCTCTTAAAATGTCTTTTGAAATTCTAGTACATTTTCTTTAAGGCAATGATGTTATGTTACTTTAAATCTCAGTGGCCTCAGTAAAAATTCATGTAGAGATTTTCCTGTCTTACCGCTTGTATAGAAACCTATGCATATATGAGGAGAGGGTGACACAGTGTGGTGAAACCAAAGAATCTGTTTCTTGTCAAACGGTATTGATTCTGATGTTTTAGCTTCTAGTTATTATTCATTTTGATGGAATATTATTCATCTTTTGGTGTTAGAGCAAAAATCAAGTCATTGAAGCATTTTTCAGAAATATAATTTTTCTTAATGAGCTTAAAAAAGCTCATGTAATAAAGATTACTTAATAATCAAGTTAAAAAAATATATAGACGTACACATCACATATCACAAAATTCCACCCTAGCAACCCACATCAAGCCCACAACTCACCTCCACTTTTAGTTTTTCCCAAAATCTCTTTTCCCAGAGGTAATAGTTCCAAAGGATCTGAATAATAATTCTTTATAGCTATCTGTATCACGTATGTGGAAAATGGTTGCAACCCTTCAACAAGGGCTATACTCTCCTGAAATTCCTGTAATTTAAAAAAAATCAATATCTGATGCTTTTTTTTTTGTATAAATGGGGAGAAATTAGTTAATCAAAGAGAGAATAAAATTAAAAGACTCAAAAGTTTATTTTTTAATCTTAGATCATGAGTGATAATGTTCACTATCCTAATCTGGCTAGACCTGAGTTGTTTAATATCTACAAGAATAAATGTTAAATGATCTACAGCCTTCAGTCAATTTTGTGACATATTTAATTCACAGAGGAAGCTAGATTCCCAGAGGAGGACACTGTTTCACTAGCATTGTATTGGAAATTCAGCAAGATCGTAGCGTAGGATGTGACACATAGTAAATAAAATAAAAGATTAAGCTACATTATCTCATTGTTCTTTGAAATAAAGTTTAAGTAAAAAGACTTTCTTTAGACCAGTGGTTCTGAACTTTGGTTGTACTTTGGAATCATCTAGGAAATTTTTTTAGAATACTGATGCCTGGGTTCCACCCTCAAATGATTTTGACTAAATTGGTCTGAGGTGAAGCGTGGGTCCAGAGATTTTAAAAGGTCCACTTTTAAGGTTAAGATCCACTGCCTTTGACTCATATTAATCAATGTGAATAAAATAAGATAGATTATCTCTAATAGAAATGTCCAGTGCCACAAGCCAGATCTTGGTCAGCCAAATGATCCAATCTGTCTCTGAAACAACTTCTTTTAGAAATGTGTTAAAAAAAAAAAAAAGATTAAAATAGACAAAATAAAGGAAGTAACAAGAATCAGGTGTACTTTCTGGCAAAATATACAGCTCTTAACTAATAGATAATGGTCAGTTTCACCTTTTGACTTGGTTAAATAATTAGCACAAAGCAAAATACTGGGTACATGTGATTCCACCACAGGGACAATTAAAATACCAATGCCATGACAGAAGGAATTATGCCAATTCACACATTTATTCCAGAATAATCTAAGGAATGACTATTCAATGCCATGTACTATGCTAGGTGCTAGAAATACAACGATACATAAAAATATAGTTGCTGCATAATGGCACATTTCACAACATACAGAAAATAACAAAAAATATAATGTACAATTTTTGTATTAGATATATGCTATGGAGGAGAGGTATACGCAATGTTCTTTGTGTCCAATTCATTTCTTAGCCCTCAATCTGCAATCAGCTGGATAGGCCATAAAAAACAAGCCTCTATCACTTTCTGGGCATAATTAGACAATCAGGAAGGACAACAAATCCAGTCCTTTCAGGACACCCAGGAAACCGTTACTGTAGCAATCCGCCAACTGGTCAGTGCTAATATAATTCCTTGAAGGTTAACTTACTCCCAGATAAGAAGACTAGAATACAATATGTTTGATGAATCAGCTATAATAGCATGTTTCAGAACATAATCTAGAAAATACTATGACTGAGAATTTTGTATCAAAAATGGGTATCTTGTGAAAAGACAAAGACCACCATCTCCATCCTTACCAGCATTCTGTATTTCAGTTCGGAGCTATTATTTCTGCTGCCAACTTCTTTATAATAAACCAGATACGTTGGAGTAGGGCTTGTGATGCCGTACCAAGTGAGCTTTGTCCTGGTGGGAGGTAATCTGATTGTAAGGCTGGTGTTAGTGGTGTCAACTATAGTAGGCTCTGCAATATCTGAAGCTAGAGACAGAAATGCTTTATCTAAAACAATAAGAAAAAAATATTAAACATATACACATATGTATAAAAGAGAAACAACAGATTTATTTAACATCAAGGGGACTATAATATTTTATTTTCTATTTAACTTATAAGGTATGATGTATTGAAGTGTTGGAAATGTTATTCAAGACAGGAAGACAAGCTTTTCCCACACATTTTGAAGATGTTAAATGTCTCAGAAAAAGGGAGCAAGGTAACTGGTAACTGGTTAACATTTCCAGCAGATGGAGCTAAAGTGCCCTTAATTATGTACGTAGACAGCCACAAAATAAAGTTGACCTATTTTATTTGACCAAAGTAATGAAAGTATTATGTTAATCATATTTTTAAATAAATTCCACTTATAAAAACTAATGCTATCTTTAGAACTTTTTTTTTTTTTTTTTTTAAGAGATGTGCATGTATGTGTGTATCTGTTCAACTTCAAACAGATTTTGGACTTTTTAAATCTCTTAAATTTCTCAAGGTGAAAAATGAATTATTTTACCAATATATACACTCAGTTTAGTTATAAAATATTCCCTCTTTTAATATTTTATAACTTACATATTGAATACATTTAAGCAAAGATTATTTGAGTTGGTTTCATTCATTTCTGTCCCTTTCTAGGGGGGAATTATACTTATCTTAGAATGACATAGGCACCTTAATGGCAAAGAGAGCTTTAGAAAAAACTCAGAAAGCACTTCAGGTTTCAATGTCACTCATGTGTTCACGAAATGCTGTTTTTATTTTTTGGCAGACTGTGTATTAGATTTCAAACTTTTTTGTAAAATTATGCTCTTAATAGTAAATATATAATCAGTTGCATTCCTAAAAGTCATGGTATTATACTAAACTGCACAATAAAATCCACAGGGTTGATGAGGGAAATAATGTTAGGAGCACAATGCTAAAAAAAATTCCTTAAAAAAAAAAGATAGAAACAATAAAAATAGTAGCACAAATATACACATATTAAATGGTTGACACACCTTATACTTCTATAAATAAGGCATTTTACCTTGAAAAAGACCTGAAATTTTATGCAATGCTTTTTGACACCACTAGGGGATCTAAAATATCATCGGAGGAGAAGAAAAAAAAAAAAAAACAGACAAATTCCATCCTGCAATAAACTTGACCAATGGCAGAGAGAATGTGGGACAAGGGTTTCCCAAATCTCAAGTTGTCTGCCTCAGCCTGAGCCATACGTACGCACATGGAGATAAATTGTGATCTAAGGCAAAGAGCAATTGCAGTGAGCACCAAATGCTGACAATAAAGCAACACTGAGAGCATAACGAGGGAGCTGGAGAAACACCCTGGAGAAGGAGACATTACAAGACTTTACCGACCCTAAAACAGGAGAACAAGCTGATTAAGACTGTGACTTTATTTACCTGGAAAAGACTGCAGAACTGAACTGTAAGCCAAAATACACTCACTCCTTAGCGCCTTTGCCTGAGAGAGGATGGCCCCATGGCTTTTCTTTGCTTGATAAATCTGTGTGCTGTCCTTTACTACGGAGATCCAATATAGAAATTCTCCATCCACAGTTAAGCTAACAAGAGATTTTCCTGTTATTGAAAAGCATAAAATAAAGACCATAAAGAACAAAATACATATCTTACATTTTCTACTCAAAACAATGTGAAATCCTTTTTCTGTATCATAACTACTAAATTTTGAATCTTTCTATTATCTCAATATGAAAAAGTAACACTTTTATTTTATGTCATTAGGCTAAAAATTTTACAGGTATTTTCTCATTTTAGTTCCATATCAAGTCAATAAGGTAAATACAGTTATTATTAGCCTAATTTTGTAGAAGCAGAAACTGAGGCTTGGAAGAGTTAAATAATCTCAAGGCCACAAGGTTAATAAAGGGCAGAACCAAGATTTATAATTTACCTGTGTGACTCTAACTCCAACAATGCCTATCTGAAAAAAGTAGTAAATAATAGGCACAGGGCTCAGTGCTTTGCTCAATGTTTTTATAAATGATTTGGAATGAATGCATGGTACACATATTCACCAAATTTGCAGATAATACATGATTCCTACTGTCACCAGTAGTTTCAGTTACAGACTTAAATTTCAAAAATATCATAAAAGAATCAGGAAATGGATTGAAATTTAATAGAAATAAATGTAACATCCTAAATTCAAGTTTAAAATCAACTCTATAAATAAGGAATAGAAGAAACCTGGCTTAATAATAGTTAACACGAAAAAGACATTTCAAATGGCAAGCAGCCCAAAGACCTAATGCCACTTTTAGCTTCAGTAAAAGAAGATTTAGGAAGTCAGAGGCCCCATGCACTGATCGGAACACATTGAGAGTACAGTGAGTCATTATGGGGTGACATTTAAGAGGATATTAAGTAGCTGAAGTGAAACCACAGGAGGGTGACTAGGGAGAAGAAAGATCTAGAAGCTACATCACCTGAGGAGTAGTTCAAATACTTGAACTTTTCCTCTAAAGGAAATGCTTAGAATGGGCTATTATGACTATCTCTATGGAGTTGAATGGCTATCATATAGAAAGTAATTGATTTATTCATTGTAAATTTAGAGGTTGGGCTCTGACTAATGAATGGGAGGAATGGCTAAATATAAGATAAAAAATAAGATAATGGCCCATTAGATAATTCTTGTGTGCCAGATGTTAAAAAAAAATTATTCTGACACTTGTTAAAATGGTAAGGAAGACTTTAGTCAAGATTATTGCAGTATTGCAATAGGGAGAGAGATGTGCTCAACTCAGACTACAACAAATACATCTGGAGATTTATAACCAACAACAGGATCAAGGGGTCAGTGAATAGAAAATTACTAAGAGGAGACATCAAGAGTAAGGGGGTTCTTGCCAAACTGGCCTAATAGGATTTTTGCTAAAGGCAAGCCAAGAACCTCAAGAGCGGGGAATGAAGAACTTAATCTGCTATCAAGGGTGGGGAGTGGGTCTTCTCTAAACTGACTTAGCAGGATTCTTGCTAAAACTGGACTCAACAAGAATGGACATAGAAGGTCAAGGTCCTATTAGGCCAAGGCCTAGTTGAGAAGAGGGCTCAGAGGAGCCTATCTAAAGTTGATCAAAGAAAGAGTCTTTGTCACAGAGTCAACAAAAACAAGTTATTTGCCTAATAAGAGAAGTTCAAAACATTATCATTACTTCTAAGCCATTTGAGAGTATATCAGAATTGTTTGTAAAATGCTCTGGATGACACAGCAGTTTTAATATGCACACGGAGACACACACGCACACAGACACGAATATACTTATGTTTGAAATTTCATAACTTCACTATATAGACTAGCAATTCATAATAGCACTTTTGATGATGGAAATATTTATGTCCGTGTCACCCAACACAGTAGCCATTGGCCACTGGTGGTATTTGAACACTCGAAATGTGGCTAGTGTGACTGCGGAATTAAATTTATAATTTTATTTAATTTTAATTAATTTAAACATAAATTACTATATGTGACTAGAACTTACCATACTGGACAGTGAGAAATAGACTCTTAAGAATGTATAGGGGTATTTAGGGTATATTTTTTCCCATTGCAATTACTCCTAATTAGGAGACTTTCAAATCACTTTAAACTTTCAAATATTTCCTTTACAATGAAAATCTACGTACACACGTGGGTGTCTTACCAAACAGCACAGGCACCACGATAACTTGCCAACAGTGGCATCCTTCCAGATCTGTGGCCCAGATCTCTTGCCCTTTGACAAAATATATCCGTGGTTTCTTTAGGTCAGAGGTATCAATAGTCATTACTCCACTTAACTCAAATTCAGTCACGTTGCAAGAACATTGGTTTCTGCCATTTGAATGGTTTATGGCTGTGTGTTTCAGAATGTGGTGCAAGGTCTGGTTGATAATACTGTAGTAGAACATCTGAGAGCCCAAATCGGAAACTTCTGTCCAATACAGGCGACTATTGGGGATAAAGACACTCCAATTTAATGAGAAATACATATTGCGAATATTAGTTTCTAGTGAAGATCAATCGTTCTTAATGATTGGCGGGGGGGGGGGAATGCAGCCTTTGAAGAGAACATATCTGAGTGTTTAATAACCTACTTCTGAGATGGAGGAGCTTATAAGAAATCTAGTTGGTGACATTTTCCAATGATTTCTCAATACATATGCTTATAGCTAACGCCTTAGACTATAGACCTTAGACACTGTATTTAGTGGTTCATTAATGACTGTAAATATAAAATATATTTGCAACTTCTCATCATCACCCATCTCCATTCCCTTGCTCTCAACTTTGTTATACTAGTTAACGATCTAGTTTCAAAATAGATTATATCCATGCTTATGGCACAAACAAACTATATCTGTCCAGTCTGAGAAACTGCCACATAGTTGCTGAATAAAGTCCTTAAAACTCATCTTAAACAAACAAACAAACAAACAAAAACACCTCATCTTAGGAAGACATTAATTAAGGATGGATGAGCCCAGAATAGCTTTTGCTGTGCAAGACATGCTGCCCATGTATTTTTTGCTCATCTTCTGCCATTGTCTCAGTCCTCTTCTTGTCCTTACCAACTGAGGATATTATTAAACTCACTGGTATAAAAATCTGCTTTGGTTTCCTGCTCATAATTAACCTAACTTTAGGTTAGTCAAATTGTCAGTATGGATTCAGTTTATATATTTGTGGTTGTGGGCTCATAATTTACAGGTAGAATTACTTAGTATAAGTTAATATAGTGAGTCAAGAACACTAAGTATCTGATTTTCCCATCATTGACTCTAATATTATACCAAACGTATTACATTAAATATGTCTCTATTTCATCACAATAGAAACAGATACTCATGGTTCACATACCTTAAAAGAGGATATATGGAAAAAGAGATTATTGTTGAATTTCTGGTGCAAATTTTCAGCTTCCTGGGATATTTCACCTTGCGTTCAAGATCAACATCAAATATTTGCATTCCGTTTTGTGATTCTTTCCGCACAAAGTAGAGATGCCTTGAAATCCAGTCAATTGTAATAGTCGTAATATCAAAAATTAGTGCACCTCGGAAAATCTTAACAATTGGTAGAAAACACAGCAAAGAAGATAGTGGTCATTCTTTTTTTTTCAAATTCAAGGCTTTTCTGTAATCACTTATATTACATATTTATTGCTCTTCTCTTTTGTATCCAAAATCTCAATACTTTGGATTGTGTGCCCTTATAACATTGGTCCTCTTCTCACATTGTGTATTTTCTCTGGCTAATTTCAACTACTATGGCTTCTATTACAATCCACAGACCAGTGCTACAAATCCACAGCTTCAGGTGAGATCACTCATTGAATTATTGATTCAAAAAATCAAACTGCCTACTGAACATATATGAATGATCCTAAAAAACAGAATTTATCACTCCACACCCCAAACCTCCTTTTCTCCTTCAATTATATGTTTATGGATTCCCAACACTCATCCAAAGAGCAATCATATCAAATGTGGTTTAGCCTTGACTTCTTCCTCCCATTACTACCCATAGTGAATTAGTTCTATTTTAAATATCCCCCCGATTTGTCCTCTCCTTTCTCACCTCACAACCTCTCATTTCTCACGTAACATTTTCTGTCTGGATTTCCGTGATAGCCTCCTAATTGTCTCAGGATTAACCTTCTCCAAGTCATTATTCACACAGCTATCAGAGAGGTCTTTCTAAAACAACTTAATCATGTTAATGACCCACTAAATTTCTTTAAATGGCTTTAAGACTGACAACTCTGTATCACAGTAAAAGAGGCCCAATACATTTAGGCTTCTGCCTACCTCTCCAGCTTTACCACCTGCCTTTCACTCTGCCCTCACTCCATTCTAAACTCCTTTGTTTATTTATAGCTCCCTGAACATACTGTGGATCTCATTTCCCTAACTTTGCACTTGCTACTCTCTCAGCTTTCCCCACTTTCGCCTGGCTTACCTTCATTACATCCAAGATATCTTTCCATTCTACCACCACCATTTCAATGAGCATCCATTCTCTGTGATTCCACTGCATCCTGCCCTCAGCATAGCATTTATATTGTGTTTTACCTACCTTCTCCCCAGCTAACTTTCAGTGAATGCCTACCACACTCCAAGCATTGTGCTAAGTGACATGTATTATCTCATTTAATCTCATTGAATCTTCACAGGAACCCTATGATGAGGTACTACATAACCATAGCAGTTAACTTACTGATGGTCTAATACTAGTCTGGGTTTGTTCAAGGACTGTGATTTTTCTTTTTTACCTCTATCTCAGGAACTAACACAGTGCTGTAAACTCAACAACTGTTTGCTAAATTAATCCTGAATGACATTTGCCTAAAACTTAATCTGAATTCATTTGTGACTAAATAATACAGTGTCTGTCTTTTTCAACCATTCTAATCTTACTGAGTCGACCACTCAGTCATTTTAATTACAGGGCAGTGTGATATGCAAACGCTCTACTTTCTTCAAAATAATTACATAGTAACATACCTCAGAGCTGGACTGATTGTCCATGTTCAGAAGGAAGAGTGAGTCTCCTTGAGCATAATACCCCATCGCATTATCAGCTGTGTAGCCCACAGCACTGATGTTTCTTTCTGCCGAAAACATCCATACAACTTGATTTTGATCCATGTCTAACAAAACTATGTTGTTACCAAAGAGAGTCATGAGGTATGGAAATGGACTGATTTCTATTTTTGAAAACAAAAAATAAGTAGATAATATGTATTAGAAAAATAACTTTAGTTTACCAAAGTCTATTGATTCAATATTAGGTTGTTTTGAAATCCATGGCTCTCCTTTGGGTTCATCTATTACACCAGTCTAATCGAGACAGTCTAGGTATTCTAAGTCTACGTTTATTTAAGCATGTTTGATGATGATAAAAATTAATTATTTTATTTGACTCTAACTTCAACTCAGAGACAGCGCTCATATCCCTGAGAATATCAAAGGTTAAAACGTTTTAAAATACTAATTGCTGTTTACACAGATTTTAGATGATAGTACCTGAAGTTTTGGACTTTACTATGTTAGAAAATGGTCCAGGTCCTTTGGATGTGAAGACTCGAACCTAAAGAAAGAAAAAGACACAAAAAAATCAGCATTCAACAGTGTCCTCAGGGATAATAGTTAAGTTATGAGACTGATAAATTATTGAATGTTTCATTTCACACTCTTGATACACATTATTAATAGTTTCAAGTAGTTATTTACATCTGCGTATATAGCGATAAATCACTAAGAGGAAAAACACTGCCCCATATTTATGTTGGTGGGTTTTCTTGTCTAAAAAAGTACAAAGAAATGGCACAAATCTCTACTGCAAAAATATTTAATTTCTAAAAAAAGTCTTTAACTAGCTACAAAATTAAGTTACATAGAACATTGAACAGAAATAAAATTATACAGGTTATGGTACACTTCCGCTTATCTTGAAGTCAACAACTAGATATTTTAAATAAATTTATATACTTTTAAAAAGGAGAATTATAAAAAGAATAATTAAACCTTACATTTGAAAGTGAATTGTGCATTTCAAACTACTTTTACATCCATTATCTATTTTGATCCCCACAACTACTAAGAGTGGAAACTAGACGAGGATCATAATTAAGGTAAGTTACTCATACATCATGACACATGTAAAAACTGGCAGAAGAACCAAGTCTTCTGAGGTCTGTATACTTTCCTTCCCACTGTGCTACATTGCACCCTAACAGCAAAGTTTTTTAAAACAATTTTTATTAGATGTCTTTCATTGTGTAATAAATCATTCCCATTTCCAAATCTTGCATAAGTACAATAGTCTATAAAGAAAATGGACATCCATAAGATGCACGCAAAAGATAGATCCTCAAGTGCCCTGTCAATCAACAAAACATTGGGTCATTTTTATTACACTGCTAGTATTGAATACATTTTACTATATCGATGTATTCCTATCTGCATATGATATATATATATTACACACATATACACACATACACATGTGCAATGAGACATATATGACAAGCAGTCTTTACTTCTGCATAGGATAATCTTAAGTGAAATTCATGCATATCTACACGTATCACTTTGCACCGTTCTGTAGTGACTGATACATGAAACTGTATATACATATAACCAGGATATTTCTTTAACTGGAACATACATAATTCTTAGCAAATGGGAGTATGCATTATCTTTAACTTTTACATACAAGTTTTTGATTATATGTAGACCTAATGTATTATCAAATGATTATTAAATTCAAATTTTACAAAAAGATCCTTAGGCTATCCAAATCTCTGGAACACTCATCAAACATTATATTCCCCCAAAAGAAATAGAAAATATCTCTAAATCTATACAACAGTGTCACCAACCTGATATTTACTGAGAATATGAAAATCATTAAGCCACCTATCATTAAATGGAAAACTATTTCATGGGAAATCAAACATGTCAGTATGGGGTGGAAGTAGCTTCTTATTCTTGACTCCTGAGTTTTTCCTTTATCAGCAGCCAGGTGATAACTGTGAGATGTCGACTACCCAGACCCTCAGTGTTTATTTCTATTGGTAGCCCCACATCAGGGCATCCAGATGGTGACAGCAATGATGTGATATAGCAAAGGACTCTAGCGGCTGGACTGTAGTACACCACTTCCTAGCCATACAGCTTTGGTAATTCACTGATACACCCAGGGACATGTCATTTTCTTTCCCCTCAAAAAGGACTAATAGAAAGTGAGATAATAATTATAAAAGCGCCTATGGTGGTACATGGCCTATGGTGATGGCATCAAAAAAATAATGGTCTTTCTGAATGTGAAAGCAAGAGAGTTGTCAAGATGTCCTTTACGTCAGCTGCTCCCTCTCTTCCTCTCTACCTTTGCTGTTTACTTGACCCCTGTGATTACAATGTACCTCAAATTATTGACAGAGTGGCAGAATTCTTAACCTACTCCTTTAACTAAACTTCTGTTTGCACTATCAAAACCTCTGTATTCCTGTTTTCACTCTCATACCTGAAAGGCAACGATGTACCCAGGACTCACACCCTCAAGTTGAAAAGACATCACTGAGGGAGTGACATTGACAGCAATCCAATCTTCGAATGTTTTGTTTGTGTCATTTTGGTTAGATATTTGATAGAAAATTTCAAATCTGGTTAATACACCATTTTCATGCTTAGGCTTATCCCACCTAAATTCCACCACAACTTTATTCTTGTTGCGATATTTCCCACTTGGTAATATAAATACTCTTGGGTTCTCTGGTGCTGATGGAACTGAAAAGCAAAGATACAGACAGGGCAGACGAGAATATAAGATTGACTTTACCACTCATGATGAGGATGTGGAACAACTTAGTAATAAATATTTCTCATTCCAGACAGTTAAGTTCTATCTATCTCGTTCTTAAAGATCTTTAGGAAAGACTATTCCATAGATTTCTTTAGGAACATATCCTAATATTTCAGTTCATCTTTCTTATCTCCAACCCAAACCCTTTTTACTACCACTTAGCCACACAGTTCTTGTCTGTGCCCTGCATAGATGGAAAGTGGCTGGTTCTCCTTATAAAATACAATATTTACTCTCATCCTGACAGAGTGATTTAGCTGGAGGTAGAAATGACAGACACCAGGAAGAAAGGCAGTAACTTTTTCAGCTTTCAGCCAGTTCAGCCTGTAAAATACAACATGTCAGGTATCCTAGGCCCTCTCACCTTGAATCCTTCCAGGAGACAGGAAATGCCCCCAAGATTATGGTTTGTGGGTTGTTATTTATTCTAGAGATAAACCAAGCAATTTAGTGTGGCTGTCCTTTAATTTCTCTCTCTCTCTCTCTCTTAATCAAGAGAAATTTCTCTGCTTGATTTTCAAGTCACTCCATCTAAGATATCCTTTTTCTTTCTTAGGACTCCTCCTCAATCTCCAGGCCTTCTTACATAGTAGTGATACCTTTTCTTGCTAGTTTCCACTCCCCAAAGACTTTCCCTGGTCATACCAGTCTGTGTATATTGCCCTCTCCTAAGAATATGGAGGCAGCTTGATATAGGTGAAGGTTTTATAGTCTTGCCTACTTATTCTATGCCATTGTCACTCAGTTCTCATTGCTTTATTTCTATTATCATTAGCAAAATATGTTTATCTCTCTACTGTTTTATGAGCTCCATCACAGAAAGCACCTTTTCTTATTCTTTGTTAAGTTCTCTCAAATTTAATTTAGAACTGGCACACAGTAAGTGCTTAACAAATATTTGTCAATTTGATTAATTTTCTGACTATTTTAATAATATTATTCATTTTTCCTTATTGATTCCAACATTCAGTAGCATACTGATAACCCTACCCTTCAGTGCATTCCCTGATGGATGCAGTCAAATTCATTTCTACAGAAGACTCCAACCATGGACGACACTCCAAGACAATCTCAAAGATATCATACCTGAATCCAAATACTAACTACTCCAGAAATGCCCAAGCTCCGCTATGTTCCTGTTATGAGACTCGTGGAAAAATATTGTTGAAAGAATCTTAACAGTAAAAGAATGCAATGGTGAATATACGTGCATGTTTATTAAGCTCTACTACCTGCCAAGTCCTGTGCTAGGAAGTTTATATAAATTAAATCAATATGATACTATCATTTGCCAACATTTGCAAAAATGACTGAATGGAGATTTGATGAAACTATAGTGAAAAGTCCAGATTAAGTCCCAGCCCTGCCCTTACTAGCTATTTTACATTGGGCAACTACAAGGCTTTCTCTCATTTTCATAACAGCGATAACAACACCTGTCTACTGACCTCAGAGCTGTGTGAAGATCAAATGAAATGATGAAATGATGTTTTTGACACATGGTAGGTATGTAATAAATATTTAATAAAGGAGTGATATATATAAATATGCTTTGCACACTTTAAAGTGATAGACGCATATAAAGATATGGCTCTTATCCTTTTTAAAATATATTTCAAAGAAAAACAGAAAATTTAGACATCAGTTATTCACCTAAGGAAGATTTTGAGTTACCATCTATGAGAACATCTTCCAATAAGACTGTCTTCCATGAAACTATCTCTGCTCTTAAATGCCCATTTTCCTTATAAAGCATTTCACAAATTATCTGAAACATGTTTCTGCGTTTGTATATCATTATAATCAAGTGAAATAGTCTTTAAGAAATCTCTGAAATGTTCTTTTGGAATAAATTATGTAGATTTATTTTAATTGTGCTATTCTTATCTCCAAAAAGTCACTGAATAAGTATTGAATCTAAACACATCTACAAAACTGAATTATTTTTTAAAATTATTAACTATCCTTTCTAGATCATAGAAAGTGAGATTCTACCTCTCTCTCTCTCTCTCTTTTTTTCTTTTTAAGAGATTTCACCCTTGTACCTGTTTCAGGTGCTCGAAGTGATAGAGATGTTTTGGGACCCTTTCCCCAGTAGGTATAAGGAGTGACAGAAAGATTAAATAATGCATAGGGCTCCAGACCTTCCACAGTAAATACAGGTAAAGGCTGTTGTTCACTAGCCAGGAACTAAAATGTAAGCACAAAACATTATTTTCTTAGGGAGAGAATCATAAAATCTTTTATTCCTATAACTAAAATCTGCAAACTTTAGTTCATATGTAAAGTCAAACCTTGCAATTTTGGAAGTACTGATGTTGGTAAGTTCCATGTTGTTCATATAAACCAGTTAAAGTGTCTAATATATCAGTTAACACTGACCACAAAGTGGATAGAGATTGGCTGTAGACAAAGGTTTTCAGGAACAATCTTGATGACCAGATGCTAGGGGAACAGCCACAGAGATGGGCTTGGTTAAGTGAAGAAAGTACAAATCAGTGTGCGCAGGGTGGATGCAGATGTACAGTCTGTTTGAGAAATGGAAGTTAGTAGAACCAATGCCATACCTTAGGATGAGCACTAAATTCCACACTATAGAAAATTACACCCCAATCCACTGCTGGGGGAGCATTCCACAGGATTTGAAAACTTGAAGCATTTCCTTCAATCTTAAATGAAGACTCTTGAATGGAATCTGGGATAACCTTAGGGGTAAAGGAAAAGTTCCCTAGGAAATGAAAGAAAGGATAGAGGGAGAAAGAATTTAGGATTATCAATCATCATAAAAAACATGGAAAATTAATGACAATTACTAGTAGTACTGAAATAAAATTTCCCTTTTTTTTTAATATGTCCTGAAAATCATCTTTTTCTGACCATTTCCAACTGTAAATTTGAGTTAAGAGTAAGCTGACTGCAAACAAACCAACAGAAATTACTAAAGACTTGTTCCTCTTAAAACATAATTCTTAAGAAAAAAATCCCAACCTAAACATTTACTTAACAGAAAGTATGGAGGAGCGAGGGTAAGCAGGAATAAAATATTGTACCAGGCAGAGGCTTGAGGGATGTCTGGACAATTGTGAACTGATTAAATTTGGCTGGTTCCAAAACAGAGACACTAGTTCGCTGACCAATTTCCTGAGCTGTGATAATCCTATAGCCATTGATCCAGAAGAGCCGGCCACTATAGTACATCAGTGCATTCTGGGAAATTTCGGAAGTACTCCAGGCTGCAAATTCTGTGATGGTGATATCCCCAGCGCTGCTAAAACATGGCACCAATTAGTGTGTGTATTTGGAGTGGGGGATGGGCTGGTATATTCAAGTACTGAAGAAAATCTGTATTTATTAGCGTGCATTTTGTGTATATGAAAATAAAGAAAAATACTTTGCAACAATAATTGTCATTATTCTTAGTTCTATATTAAACTGATCTTTTTTTTACATTTTTCTTAAAATATTCCTAAAGCAAATTTTCTAGGGTTTTTCTTATTAATGTGATACTGCAATGGCAAGAGTGTTACACAAGTTTAATAAATGTGATTTTGGGTAATACTCCTAGAGCAAAAGCACAACCCACTGATTGGTTTCTCCTGGTTGAGTCAAATATCCCCCTATTCTTGGTTAGGCATCTTATCTATTTGCTTTAATTATTCTAGCCTGTTTGATCCTCCACTTTATATTAGTCACCACTGTTGTTTCAATGATACTTATCAAAATCTATAGCTTAGTCAAATGTTCCTCTTCAGACCAGGGAATTCAAGTAAACAGACTTATTTAAATTGCCTTTACAGTTTTTATCTCAATAACAGGGAATTTGACAAGGATTTTTTACTTTAAAAATCTGCTTGGTTATTTCTAATATTATTCCGGTTGCCTAGTACTCAGTAAATCTAACTCCATGATACTCAACCTTTTAGAGTGGAGATTGAACCTTTTTTCTAATTTCTCTAAATCTTTTTAAAGTGTTGACATTCCCCTCTTAGAAAAGTATGGCATTTAAAATCAAAATAAATAAAAGTTCTGTTTTGAGAATTTCATAATACCTCCTTGAAAAAAAAAAAATGGAAACTACCTCAGAGGACCATAGCTAGGAGTTGCAGACCTTATAAAGAAGCACCATGTTCAAGAGTGCTATATAGTCCTTTTCTAGCAAAATACCATTTTTTATATCTGCTCAATTGTGAAGACAGTATCCAGTTTGCCTTGTGGACTTTCACCTACCTGTCAGTGTCTCCACTGCACTCTTTTTATATCCCATCACAGTATTCACCATATTCTACTGCAATTAATAGTTTACAAACCTATCTTTCCCCACAAGCCAAATGTCTGCCACACAGTGGATAATTAGTAAATGTTTAATGAAAGAATGAATTCTCAGGCGTTATCATTGATAAGTAAGGGGCAAGTCATTCTCTTCTCAATCAATTGCCTTTGAGGGATATTACTTACTTCTGCCCCCGAAGAACAGCTGTGTACAGGTGCATACATTGACTATCTTGAACCAACCAATACAGGAGCCCATCACTGAGGTCTAAAGTTAGAGCAACTACCTAAATTGAAATTAAGATAAGAAAACAAATCAAATCCATGTTCGAAGGATATCTTTGTGAATAAGTCACACTTAAGCTATAAATTGCTCTTTAAAATCCTCTTTGGAATAATAAACTCAGTCATTTTTATCTTTCACTGAATAAAAAATTATGAGTATGCCTATTACTATGTAATTTGGATATAAGCACTGATTTCCTAAAAACCATTAAAAGAACTAGTACTCACTTCTATATACTTAGCTCTGGTGATTCTTGGACCAGAACACCAGCATCACCAGGGAACTTGTTACAAATATATTCTCAATCACACTCCAGGTCCTACGGAATCAGGAACTTTGAGCCACTGTGTCAAGCCTTGTCCTAAAGCGAGCCATGAGTTTGGGCTCTTCAGCCACATTAGACAGCGAATGCCATTGTTCTTTAAATCAGTTGTTCTTAAACGTTGCAGCACATTAGAATCACCTGCTGAGTTGTTTAAAGGTTTCAATTCTCAGGCTGCATCCTATTAAATTATGGTCTCTGAAGATGAAACACAGTCTCCCATGTTTTCAAATTCTCCGGATAATTTTAATATGTCACCAAGTTTGAGAACCAATGGTGTCAAAATTTTTTAATTGTATTTTCTGTTCATTATAACCAAAAACATCCTGACACATTTTGAAAATATAATACACAAAAGGTTTTTATGTTTTGTAATTGGATAGTCATGTATATTAAAAGCCCTATTTCTGGCTGACATCGAAAACTACTTCTTAATACTTTCTCTTTGTCTTCTTGCTACCACCCCGTCTTAATTTTATGTCCAGTTATTTAGGTGAGGCCTGAGGATAGTCTGCTTCTCCTACGAAATAGAGTGCATGGGACAGAAGTTACTATCCAAGGGATCTTTTTTGCTTTCTTTAGCTTTATAGGTATTTTGTTCAAATAAGCTGAGATTGTCAGGAGTTAGAGCTCAGAGTAGTACATTCTCTCTAAAGCAGACCTAGAGACTGAGAAATATCAGAGAGGATTAAGTTGATGACTACATCTTTAGCAAGATACAGCAGCATATAAACAAAATCAATGAGCCAGTGAAAAATGTAACTAGCTACAGTAAGGCATCCAAGAACTAAAAATATTTACTGGCAAGTAACCTAAGGCCTGCTACAAAGAAATAATCCTGAGGCACACGACTGCAAGAAACTTCAGTGGTCATATAAATCACAGCCTTCTGTCTTTAAGAAAACTCAACCTCCTCTTTCTCAAAAGGTAAAAATCTATTCTATCAATTCCCAGCTTTTGAAAGTCGAATCATGTCCTTGCTTCAGGCTAAAAGAGATTTACTGATGACTTTTTCAGTTAAAGTGAAATCAGATTAATCTTGTTTAGTTATTTATAATGAGATGCACTAGAGTTTTCTAAAAACAGATTAGCTCTTTTATCTCTTTTTAAATTTATTTTTTATTACAGTTGACATATGATATTATTTTGGTCTCAGGTATACCTCGTGGTTTGACATTTATAAACCTTACAATGTGATCACAACAATAAGTCTAGTAACCATCTGCCACCATATAGTTATTATGATATTACTGAATATTTTCCATATGCTATATATTCCATCTCTATGATTTTCTATTTTATAACTGGAAGTTTGTGCCTATTATTTCCCTTCACTTTTTCACCCATCCTCTCATTCCTCATCCCCTCTGGCAACCATTTGTTCTCTGTAACTATAAGTTTATTTCTATTTTGTTTGTTCATTTGCTTTGATTTTTTAGATGCCACATATATGAAATCATATAGTATTTGTCTTCCTCTGACTTATTTCACTTAGCATAATACCCTCTAGGTCCATCCATGTTGTCTCAAATAGCAACATTTTTTTTTTATCTCTTAATAAAGGAGATTCTATAGCTCCCTTTGCTGGAACACAACAAACTATTCAAGCTATAAGTAAAATTAAGGTGTTGGGTCATTACCTCATTCCTTTACATCAATCATTTGGGCTCATATTTAAACAGAGACAGAGAGTATTCCATGAATATTTGGTACCATTGTTATGTCTAATAGTGCCCATACCATGGAAATAATTCTTTTGAACTTTAAGTTTTAATCTTGTGCTAAAATGAACTATATATTATGAGCCCAACCCATCAGATGTGGCAAAAAGTTTATTACTTTAGATGAATATCTCACTTCATTCTCCCTTTTCATCAAATACTGTAAGTCTTTCTATAAATAACTGACTCACTATTTTATTATGCCTGTTGATTACAAAGTATCTTATGACTCCATAATAAATCTGTGTGTAACATATGAAGGACAACAATGAAATGGAGAGTGCTTTGCTTGGTCCAAAATGTATTGTCTTCAAAATACCCATCAGAATTAAATGGAGGCAGATGGATAAGACATCAAACAATGGAACCAGAACATAGATTTATACAGGCAGCAAGCAACAACACTTACCAAGCTGTGAGAGGATTTGGAGTGTGAATTTAAAGAAAGATGAGAAATCTAATTATTTACTCATTTACAGAAAAGTCCCCAGGGCCACTAGAACTTTCCTAAGAGGAAATAGCTCAGATGACCAGATCACAGCAGTGGAGAAATTACTGACAAAGCCCCATCGATAGGAAGTTACTCTTGAGATAATATTACCTTTAATATGTTTTTGCAAAAATAAAAGTGCTTTCCCTAACAGTTATTGAGACATTAAAAATATACTCTTTTTGTATTCAGATTCAAGAGGCTCCAAAATAAAAGTAAGGAACCAGTTTGTTATTTGACAGGAATGATTAATTTCTAGGTATGGTATATAAATCTCTATTTTAAATATCTGTGTTATAATCTGTATATGCAAATCAGGTATCCTTAAATATTTTTGGAATTAGTACCCAGATAGCCTATGGAATTGAGGATCGAGTGACTCAACAATTTATTTGTTTATAAATAACCCGATATATCTGTATTATGTATATTTTATCTTGATTGACAGAAAAAAAACTTTTAAAAAAAGGGAAAAAAAATAAGGAATATCCTGGGTAGAAACAGTATAAATGATTTATTCATACTATTCTGTAATGCTCTTCTGTAATTTCTGAATTTCCTACAGTAGATGTATACTACTATTATGAGAGAAAACAAAATTTAGGAATTTAGATAGATACATAGAGGGTAGCTGAACAGGTATTAAGAAAAATAGGCATTACTTCTAGAAGTTGAGGTAAAATTTGTTTTAGAAACATTCTTACATCAGATTTTTTTCAGATTGAGTTACAATAATAAGAGTTTAACTATTGAGTAGTTATCATGTGCCTGAAACAATTCTCACTACTTATCATGAATTATCTCATTTAATCCTCAAAACAACCCTGAGAAGTAGAACAATTGTTAAAATTCCCATTTTTCGTATAAGGAAACAGATTTAGAGAAGTCAAATAATTTGCCTATGGGTCACATAGTTTTTAGAGCAGTCAAAAAATAATAAAATTTTTTAAAAACTTTAAAAAATAATAAAACTCTTAATCACTACCAAACAAGCTCTTAATATATCCAATAGAATTCCTGCAGACTATAAAAACAGTCAAAAATTAAAAATTTTTTAAGTGTGGGTCCATTCAAGATAAGACAAACTACAAAAAAAGTCTCTATATTATATTATTAATTAATTATGACAGTCAAGCAAGAGTTAGAGAAATTTTGATTCCTGCAGACTATAAAAATAGTCAAAAATTAAACATTTTTAAGTGTGGGTCCATTCAAGATAAGCCAAACTACAAAAAAATCTCCATATTATATTTTAAATCAATTATGACAGTCAAGCAAGAGTTAGAGAAATTTTGGTTATATCAAGATTTTACTTTAACAGTATTTCCTTTCAGATTCTACCTTAAGCATTCACAATAAGCAGAAACAGTATTATTATAATCATACAATAGCACTATTTAGAATTATTAAATAATCTATGAAGTTTTATTTTTAATTAGTCACCTTTTTCCCAGAAAACCAAGGCTGCGCCTGTAGTACAAGGGAACTTTCTCCATTTAGCCTGGTGCTTTCAACAGAGTATAGTGTGGTCCAGTAGAGATAGCCACCAACTGAATCCACCACCATGTCATTCACCAATAACTTCACATGAGTCACAATATCTGTGTGTCCTGTCAACACAGACTGCCTTTGTATCTATAAAACATAATCACATGCTCAGTTAGTGATTTTCAAGTGACATTACGATTTCTGAATAGTTCATTGCAATTGTCAGTAAATTGCTGCATTTACCCATTCATTCATTCAACCATAAATATTTATTGGCACTATGTGCTGGGTAGTGTGCTAAGCCTTCGAAACATAATAGTCATAGTACCTGCCTTCATGGAGCTTATCTCTTTTCATGTTTTTAAAGAGAAAGGAGATAAATTTATTCTGAGTTAAACTTCTTGCTCTTCCTAATCATACATCCAGACACTCAAAACACTGCTGAATAAGAATGTATTTAATTGGACTCCTGAAGAAGATGCATTCATCCTGGTAAATAATGATATCTCTCCTTGCTCCTTTCTACCAGTATTTTCCCGAATATTAACTACTGCCATTATTGAGTGAGTACTTATATTATGCCAGACATTCTCCCTTTTTTTAATCTTTATAATATAAGCTCTTGTAACCTTCACATTAACCTATTAAGCCTATGCCCTACTTTTTCTTTATAAGTAAACTGGGTTCAAAGAAGTTAAATAATTTTTCCTGGAGTTAAACAGTTTTATAAGGGAGTAAACATTGAAGCCAGTTTTTATGTCCACTCTTCCACTTCCTTCTAAAGTCTTTTCAAACTAACCTATTTTAGGGAGCATTCTCTAATTAACCATATTCAACTCTGTCTACATGTCATTGGCATGTATAAATTCAGATTATACCATATTCTTTGCTTCTAAATACATTGCTTTGTATGCTTCTTCTATTATTTCATGGATGTATTTTTATCTCATCAAAAGAGCAGGGGCAAGTGGTGATGGTTACACAACATTGAACAAACTAAAACCACTCCATTTTATATAATAAAAGGGTAATTTTATGATATGTGAATATATCTCATTAAAGTTGGTATTTCTTTTTTAAAAAAGAGCAGGAACATGTCTACTATTTACTTTATAGTCCCTACAATGCCTATTCTCAAGGCTCTAAACACAATGGTAATAGATAAATGACTATTAAATTAATAAAACATTGGACAATACCTCCCTCCTGATTAGAAAATGATTTAGTACCATATTTCTTGATCTGTCAGACCAGTGTTCTCATCATTAACCATCCTTCTCTTTCTCATAGTGTACCACTACTCAGATGCACAAGATGTCTCCATTTTGCCTTCAGGTCCACTCTCAATCCTCTCCACTCTACTCTGTGCCCCTGGAGGCTGTTGTCTTTGGGCCGCATCCACTGCACTCCTTGTTCTCCGGCTTTGGGTAAGGTTTAGCCAGTGGAAACATTGGCAGAAGATCGGAGGGCAGAATAAAAGAGGGATCTGGGTAATTATTCCCCCATATCTCTCCTTGCCAGACCATACGTTCTGACAGCGGCTGGGTTTCATATCAGCAACTCTCCCAAAGCTATAGCCCCCACAGGTTCTTCTCCTTTCCCTTGCCCCTTTATGCCTGAAGGTAGTTATATCTTTCCACACTTGCTAGCCCAGGGCATGCTTCAGCATCCTTTACTTGTTTTCCTTAGCCTGGCCACACCTTTGAAAATAGTCCCTTCACTTAGTTTCATTTAATCATCTTCCTCCAGGACACTGACTCATTGGTGAACATTTTAATATATTTATTTAAAGATATTATTGAAAATGGTATACCAAATAGTGATATAAAATTTCCTTCACACATAAATGCATTTTGATTAAAAAGTGAATAGGCTTAAAGACAAATGTTAAATAATAGCATAGGCGATACGCAAGTATGAAAAACATTGTGAAAGTGACATTGCAGTCACTAAAGTGGGTGGGCATTGTTCTAGAGCATCCAGAATGCCAGGCTTTAACTTACCACATATGTCCTTCCAGCCCAGTAGAGAAAGTGACCCAGCCATTCATAAGCTAAAGCTCCTGCTCCTGCAATGTTAGGTATGTGATCATTCTCTGAGATATCCGTCCCATTCAGCAGCCACACGTAAACATCACCTTTCACGTCGCTGTAGTAGAAGCTACTGTTATACCAATCCATGTCTCAAAACAAAGTGAATTGGTAACAGTTATTTTTTCACATATGCCAACATAAACATGGAGCATCAACAAATCATACATGCACCTCAATGTAATTTTAAAGCATATACTAACATAGATATTCACTAGAATTTTAAGGATCTGTCAAGAAAATTGCAAAAATGTTACCCCAAAATTCTAACCCCTAAAACTAGAGAGAGGAACTAATATTCTTTAGGCATCTCTTCTTGGCCAGACATTCTCCTAGGCACTTTTATATATCTTAAAACAAAGCTATGAAGTAGGAATTACCGCGTCTTTGACAATGGCAAACCCAAGCTCAATGAGATTATCTATTCTGCCTAAGGTCTCACAAGTGAAAAGAAGGGGCATCCCAGATTCAAGCCAACTCCAAAGCGTTGTTCCTTCCATTAGTACCACGCTACCTCCTAAGCCCAATTCCTTTGCTGGTCAGAAATGTTGCTGCACTTGCCCACTTTTTATAAAGGCCAAGAAAATAGGTCAGATAATTAGATAATTATAGAAGATGCCATCTGCTGGCAAGATCTGTTATATCATTCTAGAACGAAGACCTTCATTCTAATTTCTTCCAGGCAAAATTACCCATTTATTACTTAATAATCCTCTTTGTTAAGAAATTCTTTCTTACACTTTAATTAGAACTTCAATACAGACTTCCTATGTTCCAGTCTTATAGCAAACTTATAATAAATTACTTAGGCATAACTGTTTTAGTGCAACAAGATAGGCTGTTACTGTGAGGTGACATTGATAGGTTACTATTCATGAGAAGTATATCAAAGCCTTCCTGACACAGTTATAAATCAATAAATAAACTCACATTTTGTGAAGTAATAAATACATTCCTACTTGAGAAGTGACATTTTCTTAATATTCTCACTAGCAGTATAGTTCAGTCAACTTTTTTTCTTTTCATTATTGATCTAATGCCAAAACACTCAATTCTTTTGATCTGTTGAATAGCTTAGGAAGTCTTATGAGTAGAAACCTGTCATCCAGGTGTAAAGGAACTTGGTGTTTACCTGACACATTTCCTATATCAGAGGACAAGAATTCTCCTGGGCCAAAGCTATTCAATGGTTTACGCCAAAGCCCATCTTCTTTCACAGCCATGATAAATGGTGGTTCTGTAGCTGTTTGGTAAAAAAAAAAAAGAAAGGAAAAAAAGAAAAGAAAGAAAGAAAAAGAAAAGAAAAATAGAAATATCACAGAAAGCACATTTTTTTAAATATATACTTACATTTATTTTCTTTTAATTTTAAATTATTTTTTTTTTATGGTGACTTTGTTTAACGAAATACAATAAGTTTCAGCTGTACACCTTAATAGTAAGGCATATATATATTTACACTGTGTGTTCACCACGCGTAAGTAGATTTCTTTTTGTCACTACATATTTGACCCCTTTGACCTCATCTACCTCTTCCATCTTTCCTTCCCCCTACCCTCTGGTAATCACTAGTCTATAGCCCATGTCCATGAGTCTCTGTCCTGTTCATTTGAAAGCACACTTTTCAAGCACACATTTTATACCCTAAGATTTCCTTTATAAAATAAAAGAATATCAACATTTAAAAAATACTGTGGAAGTATATGAGTAATTGTATCTGCTTAATAGAATTCTCTATTATAACAAATATACTTTCTGATTTTTATGAAAATATTTGAAACAGAATGTGAAGAGAATGTGTGATGTTGCCTCTATAGCAATGTCATGATCATGGATGATTTTTTTTTTTTTTTTTTTGGCTATGTGTTGCCATGGTTCCATTCAGAGCACCTAGAAGCAATTGTGACAATAGCAATATAAACAATACAATTATCTTTCCATTTTCTTTCAACCAAGAGGGTGGAATTTAGCGTAATTCACAGTTCCTCAACTTCTCTCACCACGACCTTCAGAGTTCAAGAAGTGCTAACACTTAGTAAACCATAAGAAAGGAGAAAGCCATAAAGAAAAAGAAAATTATACTGTTTCCTCAAAAATATCTTGAAAAGTTTAAAATAGCAGGTTAGACACATAAATTAAATATCACACAGTGCTTTATGTGTTTTCCTAATCTCAGATAAACACATACTGAAGAGGTCATCATACCCTCATTCAAATTCCTTTACCACATCAGAGGTGAGGAATTTTAAAGGACGCAGGGTGTAAGTCTTTTTTTTTTTTTTTTTTTTGTCAGAACCGCTCCCTAAATGAAGAACATTTTCTCACCTGGTACCAGGGTAGTACCCACCGAGGGCTCTGACCAAGGGCCTGGCCCCTTGGGAGAACTCGCTCTCACATAAACCCTGTATTTCGTAGCACTCTGCAGCTTGGGTACATTGAGCATGGTCCCACTTATGTTAGAGAAAACACGAGTGATTTCAGGAAAGTCCTGGGTTGATACTTTCACCTCGTAAGTCCAGTTCTGCCAGGCAGAAGGGCCTAATCAGAAGAGTTAAATGATATTACTGAGCAGGATGATATCAGCAAGGGCAAATAAAGGATTGTCAATTATTTAATCTACGGTCTCGCTTTGAATGGAAGGGTAGTTGGACAAGTAGTTTCTGTTATTCCACTAGTCATCATGGTTAGTTTGACAATATGACTAGGGCGGTGTCCATTCCACCCAGGCCACTCATTTTGCTCGATCGAAGGAGACATTATTCCCAATAAATCAGAGGACACTGTTCCCCAGTCAAAGCTGTGTGCTTGGCTGCATAGACTTGTCAAAGGGGTGTTTAATGACACCTCCAGATATAACCGGGCTTCAAAAAACAAATACTTCATGATGACTCTAATATGAGTCTCAGTGCTTGTATAGCACCTTCCTCCCAGAAACCCAAGCCAAGCAAAATCTAGCCGACTGCGTATTTTTATAAAATTGCACTGGAACACAGCTACAGTTGCCCGTTTACATATTATCTATGGCTGTTTACACACTACAGAGGCAGAGCTGAGTAGCCACGCAGAGACCACATGACCCACAAAGCTGGAAATATTTACTATCTGGTCCTTCATTTATAGAAAACTGTTTGCTGACTTCTGTGTTAGGTACTGTTCTAAGTGTTCTACTGATACACCTTAATTTAAACTGTATGATAATCTCATAAAAAGACACAATTAATATTCCCATTTTCTAGTAATGGAAACCGATGCACAGTTGTTAAGTAACTTCCTCAGGGTCATTCTGGTAATACACGGCAAGACCAGCCTTTGAGTCTATGCTTGTTGGCTCTAGCGCCCACTTGCTTACCCACCACACAAACTGCTTCTCCAGCGATAGAATTTCAAGTTCAGAGAGTTTTAGGGAGTTGCTCAAATTCATGCAAGATCACAATGAATAAAAAATCTCAACCCAAGTGCTCTATCCCCCTAGTTAATATATTTATTCAGACTGGAATATCAGTGCCTGGCTCCTAGTAGACACTCATTAAATACCTGAACCATTCCGTTGGGATATATATAGGAAATATAGAGATCCTTTAAATGCAAAACTAATAAATGCAGAACGAATGTGTAAACACTTTTTTTTTGAGCTAAGTAGCGCTTCTGGTTGATGATAGAATAATCACACATGGGTTCTCAAAAACTGAGTCACAACGTCAAACAGTTCAAGCTTTCCTTTCTTTCCAGTGAGGCCATAACCGGCTGGGATGAGGGCACTCACTGGCTCCTATGGCGAGGTCAGGAGGTTTCCACTGAACCAGGGCCTGGTGGGAGCCAAAGAGCACCGAGAGTTGCTGCGGGCGGCCTGGCAGGGGGTGTGGCTGGGTGTACGTGCTAAAGATGACCAAGTTACCAAACCCAAACTCTTCTATGTGACTCAGGTCACATCCCACGATGAACTCATTAAAAGACAAAGCATCCTGTTGGAAAACAGCCTTGCCATCTGTGACCAGGAAGTCATTGTTTTCACAAGCAAAGCTCTTCACATCAGCAAAGGGGACATGAGGTAGGACAAGATGGGAAGCAGAGCCATCCAGAAATGTTGACGTGAAGACTTGGGCGGTGTCATTGAAGTAAATGATTCTCTTGGACTGTGGCTTTACTGCAAAGTCCTTTAATGTACAACTCTCCACAATACGCACGGCTTCCGAGTCTCGACCAAATGGCACCGGGAGATCTACTCTATAAATGCCATCTCTCAGGAGATAAAAGACATACCTGACATGAGAACAAAAGAAGCCTGGTGTGATTCAATGCAAAGGTGGATGAGTAACCTCCTCAGCCCATTGCTTTATCCTGTTGCTCAATCAGAACCATGCATCGCCAGAGTTTATAAATACAGAGCTTCCCAAGGTGCAAATGTGTAAAAGTATTTACTAAACATATGCTCTATTCACTTAAGTTAGAGTTGGAACACTGGAAATTTCAGCCTCACTTATAATGCTTAGTCTCCTCATCATACATGTGACTTTTTAAGGAATCATAGAACTTAAGAACAAAAAGGTCTTTAAAGATTTTCTAATGAGCATGCTCTTAAAGGAAAACATAGTATATAAAAGTTACATGGCTAAACATGTTATTATAAAACTCTTTTTTCCAAAATACACACATTTTAAGTCTAATTCTGTCAATATAGTTTCCCATGCATTGTGAACGGTAAAATGGAAGAAAGCAAGAACATTTAAATCATTTTTGTGAAAACCTCACAGTTATTATTTTGCTTTAAATATCTAACAAAACTATTTTGCATGTGTAGTAGAGTAAGCTTTTTAAAATACTGACAATTAAGTGAGGAAATAAGTTACCATTTTACAAATCATGTTAACTTGTACAGTTAACATAACAGCTGAGAAGGACCACCCAGCAATCAGGAAAAAGGAGCCAATAGAATAATTTTGAAAAAATACACAGTTTGGAGCCAAACATCATGGCAGTGGTGCAGGTGAATTTTTAATAATGAAAAATGAAATGTCACCAAAATATTTTATTGATAATCGAATCTGTAAATAGAATTTTAACTAAAACATCAAACTATTCATTTAAGTGTAGCTGATTTGGGATTTGTGACCACAGAGACAGATATTAATAAAAGTATACTTTTGCTTAGTAAATCTTTCATATTACTACCCCATGGATTGGCAGGATTTAAGCATCTCGTCACAACTCTCAAATCATTTTCCTTTTTCTATTCAGACCTGCTCTTGTTCTCCTTAATGACTATTCCAAATATTTATCAATATGCTTGAGACTCCTGTGCTAGAACAATATCCTAAGATATAAACTCCATGTTGAGATATGAATCTATGTTCTTTTCCTTAAGGGAGGGCTGTGGCAGGCAAAAGGCCAAAACAACTTGGCTCTTAACCTCCTGCTTTTCTTTTCCAAATTCAAATTGTTAAGAGAATTTGGAGGGATTTTAGAGTAGATAAAAGGAAAAAGATCTAGGGTAAAGATTATAATCCTTATACTGAAGCAGGGTGAAATGTACATCTTTAATACTCATTGCTGCTTTGGAGAGGAAAAGAAAGAGAGGAGAGAGGTAAGGAGAGCAGGGGTTTGGAGGGAAAAAGACAGGTGATGGGGATGAAGCAGGGATTGGGAGCAAAGGGAAAGGTTTATAGTAAGTACAAACGCAGTAAGTGACTAATTTGAAGGTGCGAAAAAGAAACAGCATAAAGGAAACCATTTTTAATAGCAGGGGAATCAACTATTTCACACATTTGGAATTTTTAGGAACATTCCATAAAAATATTGTTAAAGGTATATCTGATTGTTTCAGAAACTGTATTATTGTATGAGGAGATGATTAGAAGACAGGCTCTGGAGCAGGAAGTCACATACTGGTTTCACTGAAAAATAGCTGTGCGATCCTGGGCAATTACTAAGTCATCCTGTACTTTGCTTTCCTATCTATACAATTAGGATATTAAAAGTATCTGCATTATAGTATTGAACAAGGATTAAATGAATTATTGGAAGTAATGCACTTAGAAGCACTATTAATTATCATCATTTCTAGTCATATTCTTAAAACCTAAGCACAAATTAATTTTGTCTTAATGGGAAAAAGAGCCACCAAAAACCTAATTGAGACATAGTTTGAGGGATTGATTTAGTGGGTGAAATTCATTACCCTTAGGATGAGTCATTTTGTGTAATTGCCAGCACCAAAGTTATATTTCATAGGATCTTAGATTTTTACAAATGAGAAAAATAAGATCCAGAGAGTCCAAAATATTTTCCTTACAACAGAGGATTTTTTCAAAAAAACTTTCTATAATTCAGTAATTCATTCAAACCTAAGATATTGAAACAAATATCTAGTAAACTATGAATGAATATGAATAGAAAAACTTGATTTTAAATCAATGATGAACGCTCTTTTTCAAGAAGGTCAATTTGTGAAAAATAAAAACTGTTATGGGCTATATTATTTTTCATTCAAATGAAAACAACTTTATTCCTACAGGAAAAAGAAGTTTAATCTTACAAACATTGGCCTTGCTTATTTGTTACTAACTTATGATTATCTGGTCATATTTAAGGAATAACCCCAAAATAACTTCCTATGTTTCCATCCTTTACATGTATGTGCATTTGGAGATCACACAATACATTCACGGTGAACACCTCATTCAATCCTCAAAACAGCCCAGCTGGGTAAGTATTATTGTCATTCCCATAAGGATGGATAAAATGAAGGTCACAGAAATGAAGTTACTTGCTTGAGGTCCTACTACATTCTAGCAGCACAGCTGAGCTAAAATGTGTCCATTTCATTTGTAGTGTACAATGGGGTAGGGAATAATTATTTGTAATGGAAAATTTATACTTGTTATTAACTATCATTTCCTGTCTCCTAAGGTGGATGCTGACAGCATTCTCACAAAATCATTCTCTTAATAGGTGTGAGAACCAAACCAAGAAATGAACTGGCACTGAACTGCTCAGCAAAAGAAAGGGTGCAATGAAAAGAGGAAATGGAGGCAGGAAGGGCTTCTCACAGGGAGCAGTGAGACCTTGAGTTGTACCATAAAATAGTGACAAATCCAGTACTAGAACCCAGATCCCTGAGTCCCAGACAAGATGTCTTTTCCATATACCCCCATTTTACTGTGAATGAGAGAAGAAAAACTACTTAACTAGAGAAGTTGTAGAACAAGTTTGAAAGAAGTTTCCTCATAGCTCTAACTTTGCCTGGATTTAATTAAATTTGAAATAAGATAAATGGATAGGCTCATCTGGTACTATAACATTTCATGAGCAAGCAAGTTTCCCAAATATTCTTGCCAATGGAAGATAACTCATACATACAAGGTTAACACTTACCCATTGTATGAATCAGCTACAATTTTTTGAGGTGCAATAATTGAGGGAGGAGTAATTTCCTCAATGTTTGAGCAGTTCTCTAAGTCACAGACACATACCTAAAGAATCAAAATTACGTCAGGAAGATTAGTGTCTATCAGTTTGGCCAACATGTATTTCTTGAGCATACACTCTGTGCTTATAATTGTGCTGGTCACTGAGCACTTTTTGAAAACATAAAAGTGCCCTTAAAAGTCAGTTTTATCTCCTAAATCCTAATGAGTTGATTCTCCTAGTGGCATCGGTAAGATTCAAGTACCTATTTTTCAGGTTTGTGAAAGCACTCAGCTATTTTTAATATTTAGGCTGTGTCCAAGCTTCCAGCCATAGTGACTGTGCTAAGCCTATCCCTCTCAAGAAAGAAAACTTGAAATATATCATGTGTCTCCTCAAGATTTCATTAATGTTGTATTTTCAGAGATCTACTAAAGTTACCCCTGGTTATTAGATAATTTAAAATGCTTGTAACCTATTTTGATCATGATTGGCAGTCTTACCTAGTGATAACACAGGTACCACCACTATCTTATAGAAGATGAATTATTATTTGTATAAACTCATGGCTCTGAAAAATCATGAATAAGGATGATTTAATGGTAGATCAGGACTACTACTAGATAAAGTCAAAACCCTCCCATAGACCAGATCTATGATTCACTGCTAACCTCGTGTCTAAAACATAGTAAATAATCAGTAAGTAGTTATTGAATGAAAGAATTGTGTTTTCTTGTAAATGTACCAAAATATGCATTTCAATATCAGCATCTGGTTATTCACTTTAAATTCTCAGACTAACCGATTCATCCATGATGAAATACATTCTCTGATAAAGCCAGTCTATGGAGATAGACGAAATTAATCCTGAACCTCTGTAAAAAATCCTCAGGTCAGACATGTCAGACATGTTGGCAGCCTCTTTCATCCATATGAGAGTTCCTTCAGAGAAATAAACAACTTGCTGGTGGACATTAACTGATATTCCTAGAAGAGCCATACAAACACACACATATGATTATAGAACACCAGACCAAAAAAAAAAAAAAAAAACTTACATAAAAGATCATTTATTTCTTTAATTTTTAATGAAGAAATTAAAATACAAGCCAATTTGGATCTTTCTTTTCACATTAAGGAAACATTTCTCTCTCATACTGACCTGTAATGTTACGGTGTATAACATCTGATTGAAGGCACTGTGCTTCATCTACTAAATGTTTTAAAGATCTTTTTCTGAGAGAAGTTCTTCTGGATAGAAAGAGCCACTGTTCCTCTTCTTGAACTAAAACAACAACATGATTTACAAATAGGACAACTGTATGCACATTGACAGAAAAAGATCAATACCACCCTCCAAAGCGAGGGCACTAGCACTTGAAAGAGGTTGTTCAGCTTTTATTTGAAGACATTGAGCTATTTCAAGTTGAGTATAAATCACATCATTCTATGATTGGGGTAGGAAGTAGAGTGTCCATCAAGTAGGTTGTATGTGTACATGCCCTTAAATGCCCTCAAAATAGCATCACGTGAGGTATCACCATTCTCAACAGCATGGCCCCAAATGGAGTTCAGCCCATTACCCTCAGCCATAAGAATCTGACTGCTTGGTGGAGGTGGTCTGGCCCAGGTCAAAGTGAGTTGTTGCATAGCACACACATGGTGTTCTTCGCTTTGTCTTTAATAGCTCTCCCTTTGAGGCAGGAGAAAAATCCTTAGGGGAATGAAATTTGAGGACTGCAGAACTCTGCCTGATGTATTGCTCAACTGGAGACCAATGAAGCATGTGCTGGTGAACACTTTTAGGACAATTAACATTAAATGTTATGCAATAATCACAGTAACAACAACCTTAAGCCTGGTCTATATTTAACTTGCTCTTTGGACATGATTTTTGCATAGCAAAAACACCTCTCCTTTCCTAGAGTATAGTAACAGCTAAAAAAAACGAAGGCTGGTGATAGGTGACATTCAATACACTCTGGCATAGCTGTGCGTCAATTAGGGTAAGGGGCAGGTTAAGTCAGCAAATGGGGTTCTGGTGAAAATAGAAAACAGACCCTGTGTGTTATTCAAAACTCTTTTACTAGTTTCCCCAAAGTATTTTTGGTGCTTCTTAGGAAGTATTTTCCTTTATTATTTTGCTCACATACACATCATGCAGTAAGTATTCAAACTCTTAATGCAATTGCTAAAATGCCAAACCCAAAAGAAGGGTACTTATAAAATAATAACAAAAGCTAATTTGGTCTCTGGAATATTCAAAATGGTAAAATGTAAATTACTAAGTCCAGATATATTTAAAAATCTTAAGGAGACTGGAAGAAAAGATATCTGGTATGTGATATACAATATAAATGATGATATACAATATAAAATGGGGGTTAGGGCAGAAAGGCTATATGTATCCCCTAAGTGTATAAATGTGAGTCACGATCACTAGCGATTTCAACTGAAACCAAGGATTTGCTTGAGGTACGCAAAAGACTGTCCCTTTAGACAGAAGAGGTGGGGTCTGGGGGAACACCAGGTGACCCAGGACCTCTGAGATCTGAACCCACCCTTGCCAACCCCTCAGTTCCATGTAACAGAAGAGCACCCCTGGGCCGTACCTGCTGAGGATGAAGTGGTAATATTCGATTCTGCTTCTGGCCCCTCACCAACTTCATTTACTGCTGCAATAGAAAACCTATTCCAAAAACAATTTGGAGAAATGTGTTTCACATGGCATGGTGTGAATAGGAGATAAAAATAGAAGGAGCAATAATGTTTCTATTTAAGGGATGATGTGACAATGCCTGTATCTAGTTACTTGGTGCCACTGCTAGGCACTAAAATGACCATCAATCATATCCTTGTTTGCATTCCCTATAGAACAGTTCAGGGTCACAGAGGTCAAAAATTGAACTCTGCTATCTGCATGACCCCCATTCCTCCCTTAATTTAAATGGTCTTAGTAAATGCTAGAAAAGCTAGCAATAATAAAATAATCCCCTGAATGGTAAACAAAAAATATCATTAACAGAAATTCACCTTTTTAGTTCTTGTCATGTAGGATTAAATGAAGAAAAGATATTCATGGTATTTATGATGTCTTCATTAGCCCATATTTATAAGGATCCTCTGAATATAATAGAAATACTTGAGAATGTTTTTGCTTAGGGTGGTATAATCTAGTAAGCATGCGAACTTGAGGAAAAACACAGTAACTTCATCCCAACAGGACAGAGTCAATGGGACTTCTCAAAACACATTTAAACTATTTTTTAGCCACATTGCTTAAATAATTATCATGCTTGCAGCCATGCTAGTTACATGTTCCTTGCACCACTTAATTCTTACCTGTAGGTGGTATTTGGTAGAGTTGAGTAAAACTGGAAACTGGTTCTCTGTGTTCCTGAGTCTAATTTTTGATTTTTGCTGATCAGCCTTAAGTTATAACCCAAAATAGGTCCACCTGGGAATTGGGGTGGAGCCCAACTGACTTCCACAGTGTCAGGACTCGAGCTTTCAATATTCCTAATGAAAGGAGCAGTTTCAGGAACTAGAAGAGATAACGGGGACACAGTGAACAGGAAAATGTACAGGGCTTATGTTTTGAAATAGGATAGAAAAAATGTTTTGTTTTTTGAAAAGCTAACACAAATGAAATATTTTTATTAACATTCAAAATAAGTGATAGAAAGAAGGTGATAAGATATCTATGAGCTGCAACTCTTGATTCCTAAATCTTACCACTTAGCTACTTTCCTGAGGAACTCTTTCTAATGTTATTTTCTTAAAATTAAATGTGTAAGTATACAAATAGGATAAATGTTCCAGAAAAAAGCTGTTGAAAGTCTCCAGAGACTTAAATGAATTGAATATGGTGTGGAAACGAGTTGGGAAGAAGAGAATCTGTAACAAAACTAGAGTCAATGATTAACATGAGTTGAAAGGATTAAGGCCTGGGGCCTTGTCACTCAATAGAATGCTGTGGCCTGACTAGTTCCAGCTGAAGATATAGGTTCAGATAAGCATGAATTAGAACAGTCTGCTGCACTTTTGCTGGCTCTGCTGACCCAGATTATATCTCCCTTCCCCCAGCTCCCAAGATCCCTTGAAATCCAGGTTGCTTGTGCTTCAGCTACACTCCTTCCCTTACAAAGGATCGAAGGAGCATACATTAATTAATAAAATGTCCACTCAGACTTTAGAAACTACCTAAGTGGCAAAGGAACAGAAAGGAAAACAAATTATCTAACAACCTATCTTCCATCCATGTCCCCACCTATTTCCCATATCTCCCACTGCCTGAAACCACACTCTGTTACTTCCTCTTTCCATAAAAAGACCTACTTTGATGTCACTTTGCTCTTCTTAGACTTCTGAACACTTTTGGCACATGATCTGACTCATTACAGTTGAGAGAAATGAGACGGTTCAGCCCTCCCACTGGATGAGTTTTAAAAAGTTCTCTTGATTGATCTCTCAGCCCTTTTCTGATACAATTCCTCTCCAACCCTCAAACTAATCTTTGGCATCATTCCTCTGCTCCATGCACTCAGTCACCTTCGTGAAGAGGAAAGTAGGAATCATCTGCCACTGAATTATGTCAAAAAACCCAACTTATTAGGGTCATTGTCCAGCCATGATTCGCTCCACTTCAAGCAAGTTAGATGCAATATGTGATTATTGTCCAAATGTTCTGCACAAAAATCTTTTCTGAAAGGTTGGTCAGAAAGGTATTCTTTGCCTAAAACCATTCAACTTGGTTAAGAAATTATCTTCATAAGGACCCTTATATCAAATAAAATCATATATGTCCCATTGCTAAAAGAGAATAGGGCCTTGAGGCAATGGAATGGAAACAGATAACTTTACAAGTTTTGATGTGGCTGGAAAAGTGAGACAGAATTGAAACATGAGATGCTATCCATGGAAAGGACACCTGGAAGAGGGTCTGGAACACCTGGAGGGTATGTGGGCTTGCATAACCCGGAGAAAGGCCCAGAAATGGAAAGCAAAATTGGCTTTTATTATTATTTTGATTTGATTAGCCAAAGGCACTGGACCACAGTATCTCTCCAGCACTGGAAAATGATCCAGTGACATTTTGAATAAGTCGAACAAAGAAGGTGTATGTATTCCACCTCTGCTCTGGAACATTTCAAATATGGCCCTAGGCCAGCATCTGACCTGAGGTTCTAAGGATGATCAGGAAATAACCAGCGGAGATGCCACACATACCCTAAACTCTAATGAGGAAAAAGAGGACACTAATCAGGGAAGGGGAGAAATGCCCCAACCAACTTCATCAGCTGTCCAGGTATACTTACTTAGGTCCAAGGCCTAGTTCAATCTGAGGGTCTCTGAACACAGCTGAATCTCCAGAACTGAGGGGTGGGGACATCCAACATCTGACCTGGAGTAAGTCCTCCCAGGTCCCCTTAGCTCACTCTGAGGGTGAGGGCACCAGACAATTCACCCCAGGTGTCTACCCTAGGCATCCATCTCCCTAAAAGGCTCTAGGCTTGAAATTTTTTCCTGGTGTAGAAACTACATCTTCAAAAGAAGAAATCAGGAAATTCTCCAGTATATGTACTATATTTTTAATCATCTCAGATAAAATGTTAAAGCATGTAATAACCTCCCAGGTGGTCTCTAGCTCTGCACTTTCCAATGTCTCTCATTTTCTCAATCCATTCTATGCGTAGTTGCCAAAATTATCTTTTTAAGAAACGTGTGATGCCACTACTCCTCTGCTTTAAAACCATCCATGACTCCTAACGGCTTATTGAGACTTATTCTGACCACCTTATTTAGTACTGCAACCTGACTCTCCCCACCACTCGACCTCTGCCATTTCTAATCTCCTAAAGGACAGACCCTACTTAAAATGTTCCTCTTGCCATAGTGCACAGCACCTTCCCACTTTCAAATCCTTTCCTTAGTTATTATGTTTACTGCTTAATTTCTCTTTCATAAAAACGTGAGTCCCACAAGAGCAGGGATTTCTGTTTTGATCATAGAGGTATGATGAGCACCTAGAACACTACTTGGCACTTAGATGCTTAATTGTTGAATGGGTCAATTAGTGAAGGAAAAAAATTATTTCATTGTTTAAAATAAAAAACCAATTAAACCAAAACTTTAGGATAATCTCCTTATTTCACAGGCAACATGCACAAGCCATACCTCCATAAGGATGAGTCCTGTAACTGGGACTGGGGGGAGAATACAGCTGCAGCTGGGCTGTGAAGATCCAAACCACTCGAAAAATATATTCTGTGAAGGGATGCAGGGGCTCTACTACATATGAGAGCTTGGACACGGCCTAGATCAATGAGAGATCAATAATCAGCCCTTAAAGACTCACCCCGCCCAAGACATTGTAACTCCACAGATTAATTTGTAGAAGAAGGGTGGCCTTCTGGATATGGGGTGACCTAAGGTCCACCAGACCAGACGATATGGAGGCCTGGAGCTTAGAGGTGAGCGACCCAGATGTCAGTCTTTACAATTCACACAGAAAGTCTTTCTTCAAAACTGCAAAGCTATGGATTCAGTTATTTGGCCTTTACCACAATGCTTTAATTTTTCTGTGTTACAATACTGGGTGTCTTGGGGCTACTTTTCTTTGAATGGACTCATGTTTTCCTAAAAGAGATAGTCCTGATGACCTCCCTTTCTCCATCTTATTAGAATAATTTTAAATGAGATGGGCAGATAATGACCAATCATGAGTAGTTGATTATGTGATGAAATAATAATATATATGTTCAATAATATATTATCCTCAAAAACAAAGCGTTTAGATTAACATGTTACAGAGTAGCAGAGATTAAAATGCATCTAAGCCAACAATTCATTTTATGCTTGAATCCTTTCCAGAATGTCTTTATACCTATAATTATCTGTAGTAATTTGGCACTTTCAATAACTTGGGAAAAAAAAGTCTGTGTTTAAGTACATAGATAGATTTTCATACCTCAGTGTAAGTCCAGCTCCCCAGAAGATGTGTATATTTCCACTGAATGATGTATTTTATTCCAGAGATGTTGGCAGATTTCCATCGTAATGTCACACTACGGTTTCCAATGGAAGAAGCAAAGGGTGCAGTGGGGAGGTCTGAATTTTCTGGGGAGAAAACAAGATTTCATTCACCATGCACCCCTCTCTGTCAAAGCAGGAGAGAGGGTGCCTGTCTCATCTACTGCTCTCAGGATTCTCTTGCTACGACTACATCTTTGCTACAATAATTCATCTGAATGAGTGATGCACACATTCGATTGGTTTATTTTTTCAAATCAGCCAGTCAGGCAGCTTTTTTTCCCCATAGAATTCACTGTTATCTCTTAAGATAGTCTTTTATATTTTTTTACAGGCAAGCAACATGAAGTGTTTTAAGACTGTCCAGTTTTCTCCTGCAATATCACTTCTCTATAGGCCAGAAAGGTGGGTTCCAGAACCATCCATCACCTCAGGACATCAATCCCAAGACTCTGTTTTTATATTTTACACTATAATTCTGCTGTTATTGTCCATCTTGTCAACAAATTATTTTTATATGTGCAAATAATTGTACTTGAAGGATTTTATATTCAGCTGTTTTTACCACATATGTAAGGATTTATTTCCAAACTCTCTATTCTAGTCCACTGGTCTATATATCTGCCTTTATGGCAACACCCCACTGTTTTGATTACTGTAGCTTTGTAGTAATTGTGAAATCAGGAGATGTGAGTCTTGCAGCTTTATTCTTTTTTTTAGGACTTGTGGTCCTTGAGATTCCACATGAATTTTAAGATGGGTATTTCCATTTCTGCAAAAAAAATGTCTTTGAGATTTTGATAGAGATTGCATTAAATCTGTAGATTGCTTTATTATTATTGACATCTTACCAATCTAGGTCTTTCAACCCATAAATATGGGGTGTCTTTTCATTTATTTACTCTATTTTAGAAATGTTTTGTAGTTTTCATTTTACAAGTTGTTCGCTTCTTCGGTCAAATTAATTCCTGAGTATTTTATTCTTTTTAATATTATTGTAAATAGAATTGGTTTCTTAATTTCCTTTTAAGATTGTTTATTATTAGCATATAAAAATGCAATTTGATTTTTGAGTGTTGACTTTAAATCCTGCTACTTTGCTGAATTATTTTATTAGTTCAACAGCTCTTTTGAGGTAATTTAGGGTTTTCCATATATAAGATCATATAATTTTACTTCCTCTTTTCAAATTTAAATGCTTGTTATTAGATCCACCAAATGTGAATGCCTTTTTCTTGCCTAATTGCTCTGGCTAGGATTTCCAATGCTATGTTCAATAGAAGTGGCAAAAGCAGGCATCCTTGCCTCAACTTAGAGGGTAAGCTTCCTTTTATAGAAAAAGAAAAGATTTCCAGTACTATGTTCAATAGAAGTGGCAAAGCAGGCATCCTTGCCTCGACTTAGAGGGTAAGCTTCCTTTTATAGAAAAAGAATCACTACTCTGATTGAGAAAATATGGTAAATTTTTGTAAGGAGCTTAAAATGGCTAAATACAAACTCTCATGACTTCATTCTTTCTAACAGTTGGCACAATTCTAATTACTGTAGATGTAGATTCTGGGCTAATTAAGATCCACACCACTAGAATAGTCTGTGAGCTATTGTCATCTAAGGGTCTAGCCCCCCAGGGGGTGTACCCCAACCCTTCTCTGCTGATTCCTCTATTTGTGGTCATTTTTGACTATTCTAACAATACAAAGCACGGTTCCACTTTTCACCTTTAATGGTATGAAATGCTTAATAGCAGGGATTGGAATAAACTGTGGGATAGCTTGAAGGGGATTGATGGAGTTGTCAGCAAAGTAAGGAAGAATCACGAGGCATCAGAAAAGATGTAAGTTGAGAAATGGGCAGAAGGGACCAGAGTTTTGTTAGTACAAGTAAACATAAATTTCATAGTTAAAAAAAGACACGTTTCAAAGCCGTGGTGATACATATGGAAAAACAGAGGTAAAGTAGGTTTATTCTAAGATGTCAAGACAAGAGTGAACCAAATGAGAAAGAGAAGCTAAACTGAGCTATATACTACTATTAATATAGTGCATAGCAGAGTGGATAAGGAAAGGCTCTGGACTGAGACAGCTGGGTTATAATTCAAGTTGCATCGTCTCTATCTATGCAGCCCCATGCAAGTATTTACACTTCAGACTCATTTTTCTCTCTGTAAAATAAGGATGATAATAACATTTATATCTCCAAAGATAAAAAGAGCAAATATCTATAAATTATTTAGAACAATACCTGATTCACAAATGCCTAATAAATATTAGCTATTTATATTTCAATATATTATTAGCTATTGTCATTCCTGTCATGTACAAAGGGGCATGGAGGGGATCTCGAATAGAATAATATTGCAGACACACAGATAAATGGATCATGGGTTAGAGACAAACAAGGTTTTAGATACATGGGCAAAAAGATTCATTATGACAAACTAAAGATACAGTCTATAAGCACAAACGCCCTTATTTAGACTGGGTACATCTCATTTGTTAGTGGTACACAGCCACTGAGCCAAAGCTAATTAGAAATTTAAAATAAAGCACTGATTATGCTGGTATTCTAACAGAATTGCATAAATAATTTGGTAGTATAATTTCAGAATATAAGAAAAGGATGTAAATTAAAGTTTCCCAAAGTTTCCCAGTTCTGGCACTTTTAGTTTCTCAGTAATTTTTTCATGACTCTCCGGACCAAAAGAATTATCTAACAGTTCCATTTATTATTATAACTTAAGTATGTATGTCCTATCACATAAATTTAAAGACAAAATAATATATTTCATCCTTTAATAAAAATAATTGCATACTAATGGGATCTATGTACCTATTGGGCACTGCACAACATCTCCAATATTTTCATCAGATTGGGTACCACCATCCTCATTTTCTGTTCCACATTGGTACTTGCTTTTTATCACAGCAATCTCATACACACACACACACACACACACACACACACACACACAAGCATCACAGAGATATGGTATCCGAGAAAGGAACATAGTACAATCCATTGTTTATATCATGAACTACCTCCAGCTAGTAGTTCCAGCAGTGTCCAATAGATGTCGACTATTCCTACATTTCCCTCACTATTTATAATGCTCCAGGCCTCCCTGTGAGGTAGACCTGATGTTCTGGGGCACCTTGGTACACAATTTGGAAACCACAGAATATAAATTTTATCCATAGCTAAGTCCTGGATACTTAGACGGGAAAAAAAAATGTGATATCACTACCTCTCCATAGAAATGTCAAGGAGGGTCTTTTGTGATACACTAAAGGGCAGACGCAAAGCAGGACAGCACCGCAAGCTCTTCCTTCCAATTTCCATTGGCCACTGAGAGAAATGCGTAAGCCATCGAAACAAGGCTACAATTTAAGGAAGAGCCAATCATGTCTCAGTCTGGAGGAAACTATCCGTCAGTAGGAGGAGACCCTGGGGAATTCTGGAAAAGATAGCTGCTAACATACAGGTTATGACTTATCAAAGTGTTGGTTCTTCAAAAATCACTAGAGAACTCACACACTTAGACACATCCCACCTACTCTGAAATCAGGCAGAGGGAGCTGGAGACATATACAACCAAGTTCTTTATCTATTCCAAATCTAACAATGAGAAGCATAGCTTCTATATTTTCTGCAAATTCCCCAGTCTTTTAGGGAGCCATACCTATGGCAGGTACTTCACTGAATAACTGCTAGCTGAATAATGAAATGAATATTAAATAAAAATTCCTATACTTTTAGTTCATTAAACATGGCATTTCCTGACTTCAAATCAGCTCAGGATTCACATTTTTCTCACTCATTAAAATAGAAGTAATTGCGTCTACTGAACTGAGGGCAAAATCTCAAGTTCTAAACATCAGTCATATGCTGTGTTTTCTCTGTTTTGTTCTGAAAGAAGTTTCATTGAATCTCTCAAAATGGCTTCCACATTTGAAATTATTGAAGTGGACGGATGGTTGGATGGATGGATGGATAGATGATATAGACAGACTGACAGGAAGACAGACAAAGAGATGTAGAAGCTAGATATTTTAAGAGGTGGCTCATTATCCTTATATAAGCATAGGTTCCTAGAGCGATGAGGATTATTTTCGGTAATAGTCACATGTGTCTGCTTACCTAGCACTTCCTCTTCATATGCACCTTCAGAACTGCTGCAGCCAACTTCACATGATTCTCTCTGTGGAGACAGGTAGCACAATAGTCAGTCAGCTTACATACTGCTTTGGCTGATAAGCTTCAATTAAATTTTGAAATCTGAATGCTGATATTTAAGTACACCTATACATCAATTATTTCAACCATAATACTTAAAGTTCCCATTTGCCTATGGGATTAGAAAGGCACCTTTCAAATATTTTTGACCATGTCCCAAATTCAAAAACACATGTAACAAAACAAATTTAGGATACACGTTAGGGGGAAAAAATTCTTGAAACAGTACTTTCTTTTTTCCTTTTTAAAGTTTTATTGAGATATATTTTACATATCATAAAATTCACCCATCTAAAATGTACAGTTCAGAAATTGTATAGTCATCATTACAATCTAATGTAAGAATATTTTTATCACAAAAAGTAATTACCTGTGATGCAATCTCATGTGTTCTATTCTGTTCTGTTCTGTTTTATTTCATTTCATTTTGTTTATTGTGACTCTTTATTCACTAACTTGATTTCATAACCCTGTAATGGGTGACACCCCACAGTCTGAAAAAACACTGAGCTGAACAATGCAATTATGTTTCCCATCTTAGTCAAAGGTTTGGTGAACTAATAACCTAAAACTCTATCCTAAAATTATACCTATTTATTTCACATATTCATGTGTTCCTTGAAAAATTAAAAACTGATTATAAAATTTATAGTAACTGTACATTTTAATGAATGTCTTAATATCAATGTTAAATTTTTAAGGTCTACAAAAACATAATGATGAGTAATATTATATCTTGTTAACCAAACATTTTGATGACTGAGACACAAATTTCCTGCAACTCAGTAGATGCATTAACATTATCTACAAAAATAAATAAATAAATAAACTGGGAGAAAAGGCACATTGTAAAACTATAACATAATCGTGATCAATCTTCCTGTTCTCATTTAACTTATAATACCTAGGACACCATGCTATTGTGTCTCATGATAATAGTGGAAACCATGAGACAATGTGTTTGCCTAAACACCCCAGGTAGAGGGCCGGGATTTGCAAATAGTAGCTGTCCAATGTTTGATCTGCGTGCACAAAGGAAGTGGAGCCTGATAAGCTCAGGTTTGCTTAGTTAAGGATTAATTTAAACATCTCAGTTTGGGCTCAATATTAACTTAACTTAAGGGTTTAATATACTTCTCACATCTTCTTCGCAGGTTTCAGTAAAATACATTCAACACGTTCATTAATTGCGGAGAATAAATATACCTAATGGCAGCAAAATTGTCATGTAACATGGGATTTTTTTTTTCAAGAAAGAAAACTGAGAAAGAAGAAAGAAGATGAAATCATGTTTATTTGGAAATACAACTAGTCTTGACTATTGGAGAAATAGTGGGCCTATTTTGCCTGTATTTTCAGAGAAAAAAATAGATAAAATTTTGATCTAGCAAGGTGTTATAGCTCTTTTGTTTACTTTCATGAAGCTGTGTTTTTCCAGATTTATTGCGATATAATTGACATATAACATTGTTTAAGTTTAAGGTGTACAACCTGTTGATTTTGTACATGCATATATTGCAGAATGATGACCACCATAGTGTTAGCTAACAACTCCATCCATCACATAATTACCATTTCTTTTTTGTGGTAACATTTAAGGTCAATTCTTTTACCAGCATTTAACACACACACACACACACACACACACACACACACACACACACACTCTGTCTCTCTCTCTCTCTCTCTCTCTCTTTCTTTCTCTCTCTCCCCCTCCCACACATACACATACAATCTAAATAATATTGAACTTCAAATGAAGTAGTCCAGTGTTTCTCAAGCTCAAATTGCCAAACAGAATCTGAAGGTGTGGCTTTTAAGGAATTCATAGAATCTAAGCCTAAAGACTCTGAAGAGGTAGGGATGGAGTAGGGGGACATTTATATAGCATACCCAGGGTACTGACTGCCATTCTCACTGCAGAAGCCAAGTTCATACTTTCCAGGGGCTACACCAGCCCACTGTCTCTGTTCCCATCCCTATTCTCATTTTTACCATAGCAATAAGACCATCTTTATCATCACCCCTCTGGCTCCACTCTTGCTTCCCAGGCCATACTCGTGCTATCAGTGCCTTTTCTTACTCCTGTAACACAGAGAGGACACACCTGCCACTCTTTTGCAATGCTCCTAGTGCAGCCTCTCTATATGAATTGTGGCTTCATTTCCTAAAAAAATTATTCATTCAAAAAAACATTTATTGATACTGTTTATGTGCCAAGCACTATTTTAGACTCTAAGCATATGGTGATGTGCAAGACAAGTTAAGTTCCCTGCCTTAATGGAATTTACATTCTCTTAGAAGGAAATAAACAATAACAGAGTAGCACATTTAAAAAAATAAAATACATACATATTATGAAAAGTGCTATGGAGAAAATAAAATAAGTCAAAGGCATGAGTTAGGCAGGAAGGAGACTTTAGTTAGGATGATCAGGGAGAACCATGCAGAGGTGACTCTCAAGGCAAGACACAAGTGATAAGAAGGAGCTGGGCTTGCAAAGATCTGGGGAAGCACAAAAGCCATGAGGCGGGAATGTGCCTCATACACTCAAAGGAGAAAGAGAGGACAATGTGGCTGGCACGGAGGACAAGGGAGAGGGGGCAGGATGAGGCAGGAGAGCCAGCAATTGCTGATAGTTTGTAATTCTTCTCAGACAGCAATGAGAAGCCATAAAAAGATTCTTTAAGAACAGTATATTCTAATTTGTGTTTTAAATTACCACAAAAAGATTCTTTAAGAACAGGGATAAGCTCTCCCACTTGATAACATTATTTTCCAAGTTATATTTTGCTAAGCTATCACTTCCAAGACTATTCCTTCCAAGGTACATGTGCTAAAACTCCAAGTTTCCTAGGTTAAAGCACCAATGGTTAAAGATTTGATTTCCTAAAGGTGGGGGCAGCTTAATTTAAAATATATCTCTATCTCTATAGAACATGTATGTTCTATGTTCTATGTTATTTAAAGTATAACATTTTGAAGTGTAAAACAGCAAAGTATAAATAGAAAAGAATAGAGTAATTATATAAGATATAACACTGAAAGAAAAGATTTACATTATATAAGCATGGACAACTGGGCAGCATAATGATTAACGGGGAACTACCACATTAGAAATCCAGTTCTGGGCCACTTTGACGACTGAAAGAATAACTCTGGCTTTCTACACACAGTCTTCCTAAGACTGCATTTGTTTTGTTTTGTTTTGTTTTTGTATTTTGGGGGGTGGTGCTAATTTTGCTTTAATCACATCAAAAAACTATTAGGCAGTTTTGGGTGTTTTTTTTTTTAATCTCAATCAGGAAAGACCTTTACTTATCTATTTACATATGGGGTGACTTTTCCCCTCTGTTTTATCTCTTCTTAGCCAATGCCCACCACCATCCACTTCCAAGAAAAAAAAAAATCACTCAGGTACAGAGTAAACACAGACTATTGAGAAAATATTCCAATTTAATTTTCTTTGTTTTATTCTCTATTAAAGGGGAATTTTTCTGTTTTACTAATGAATGTTCATTTATACTCCTTCCTCAGGCAAAGTAAGATAGGCAAGGGAAGGTTCTCTGGTTTTGAGAACATTTAAATAGACTACAATATACATTTTAAACGGAAAAATAATGTAGTTTTATCATAAATACCTATTGTCAAATAATCTAAAACAAATCTGAAGGGTATGAAATCCAGTAGAGGTAAGCTCAGTTGGAGAAGACTAAGTAGGAAAAGATCAATATCCTAAAGTCTTTCTGAACAATAGGAGAAAATCAAGGGCAGGGGAGAGAGCTAGCACAGGTAGGGGCCTGGCGGTGGGAAATGAAGAGACCTAGACAGCAGGAGTCAGCATGAAGTCTCTCATTATCATAGCAGGAAAAAAAGATAAGCTGTGTTTCCAAATGTTGTCAGAGGAGTTTGTTGAATACAGAAGAAAATTATGACTTAAATTTTTTTCTTTTAATGCATTGTACTTAACGATAAATGCTTTATGAGTGAGAAAATGAAATCAACAAAAACAAGGATATCCCTATATCTACTGCTTCCTCATTCCCCACCACCCTCTCTCACCCAGGTTTCAGGCATTAGGACCCTTCAAACCAGATTAGAGCAACGTGTGTGTGTGTGTGTGTGTGTGTGTGCGCGTGCGCGCATGCACACACACATATGTATATATACAGATATGCACATCTATATGCATATATATGCATGTAGATATATAAAACACAGCAAATATTTGTGTCAAAATGGAATTATACAGTCATTCTTATGACAAGAGTCATAGCACTCAAGAAGAATGTTTCTGTGCACTGAGAATGAATCAGGTTTTTACATTCCTGTTTTAACAGTGTTTTAACAAGAGATAAAGACATGGGGTTAAATGACATCATTTTTATAAGTGATTGCCAACTTACCTCACAAACTGTGGCATAGGTATCATTCTGCATAGGAAAGAAAAACAATTTAAAATCTTCAAAGTTGTAAATAATTTTAATGACATTTAGTTATATATTTCTTCCAAATTAATTGCTTGTCCCATCATTGACAAATAACCAATAAAAAATAATCAAAAGCAAGGGAGCCCAGAGCAGGGCCTTCTGTCCAGACAGGCCACTGAAGGAACAGCTATAAAAATTATGTTGTCTGCATTACTGGAAAAATGGTGGAGCATGATGTCTGCTCGACAATCCCAGTCAACTAAGAGGTAATCAGTGATGAACCAGGATTACAGAATGATGAAGTGTGTTGGCAGATGCCCAGGAAAGATAGAACCCGAAATGAAAACCATCATTAGCTCCAGCTAGGAAAGGCCAGCAGGTTTCTCTGCTCACACTGCCCACTCCAGTGTCCACTCTGCTTCCTGGACTATTTCTGACAACAAATGGTACCTCCCATTCATTCACTCAGTGAGTGTTGTCGGATCATCTGCTATTTGCCCCTCACAGTGTTCAGTGCAGGAGACACAGTGTGAACAGGAACGAGAGCATCCTGCCCTGATGGGCTTGCATGCTGAGGAAAAAGATACTTAAACATATAACTAGACAAATAATGATTTAAATTTAAATTCATAAAAAGTGCTACCAAGGAAAGGTAAAGTGTTTTCATACTGTATAATAGTTTCAAAGTCCAGATAGCACCTACCTCACCTTTTGGTCACAAATATGAGAGTGGGCATGTGTAACAGATCTCCTGTGACAGAGATCTGTGAGGACGTACTATACAAGAAAAGCTAAGAAGACTATATACAAGGAGAGGCTAATGTCCTTCCTTATTTAAAACTCAGTGCAACAATTTGAATCATTAATATTGACGAACATATTATCCAAAGTTATCGTGATCTTTACGAATTTGATTGAAAAAAAAAAAATCTCCGACCTGAACAATCTAAACAATGCAACCCACTTTTAAATTACAAAACCCGTGATCTTTACGAATTTGATTGAAAAAAAAAAAAAAATCTCCGACCTGAACTATCTAAACAATGCAACCCACTTTTAAATTACAAAACTCTTATACATAAGCTTGTGTAATGACAGTGTATCAGGCACTATCTTTAGGAGGGATATTTGATTATTATTCTTATTTATTGACAAAATAAATGAAGTAAAGTACCAAGCGGTTAAGGACCTTAACTAAGTCACACACTAAGGGGTAAAGCCAAAATTAATTCAAAATGAAAAATAAAGTATTGGGGGATGTATTTCCTACATAAAGTAGAGTAAACCTAGGTGTTTGTGACCTCTGGATTAGATCACTACTGTGTTTCCTGCAGAGAAACTTTGAACATGACCTTGGGCCCTGCTATCCAAAGAGGGGTCTGGAGACCACGAGCATTGCACCACCTGGGAGCTTGTTACAAGTGCAAAATCTCAGGTCCCACCCAAGACCTACTGAATGAGAATTTATACTTTAACAAGATCCCCAGTTAATTGCCTATTAAATTTTGAAAAGCATAGGACTAGGAAATATAACAAATACCTGACATTCTACTAAAAGGCTTTTCTAGCTGGAGCAATTGGGCATCCTTGGGTTTCATGGTTTGTGTTAACCTCTATTGGTCTCTGGTTGCATTAATAACGTCTATGTCAATTTTTTTCCCCCATTACTCAGGCTATCGTATAGTCCCTTTAGAGACAAGCCAAGTAAGTGAAAGCCAAGGGAAATTCAAATGAGAATCCTCTTAGACAACTTTTCTCTTGAGGGAAAAATTAGTATCAAAACAGAAAAATAATTAATACTTACACACTTTAAAGCACAGTTTTCCTGATCTACAAAGTTCCAAAAATGACATCCTTGGATGCACTGCAAGATTCAATAAGAGATAATGGTGACTGAAAAAGTAACTTTTTCGTCACCTGAAAATAGCAACAAAAAGAGTTTTGGAAATAGAAATCTATCAAGGAATCTGTGTCCTCAAAGGGATCAAGATCTTCCTGACTCTAAGCAGAGTTGTCCTGTCTACAGATAGGGCAGGGTCTGGTGTGGTTTGCTGCAGGGGTGCTGAGTTGGGTTCAGCTCAGTTGGGCGGACAGTCTGAGAAACCAGAGAATACTCAAACTTCAGGGAGCACACTGTCCACTGAGTGTCTAACAGCAGGTAAAGTCTGAGGGACCATGACGTCGAACATATCATGGGTTGATGGGGTGACCTCACATAACTCAAAGCTGGGACACAACCAGAAGGCAGCAGATCAAAACCTAAATAGGTTGACACTTCAGGAAGCCTGCTGCCCACTAGCCAGCTTTCACTCCATAGTTGCCCTGAAAACTTTCTCTCAAAGCTGACCTGGCCTCCTATTTGGACAGATTCGGCCCATTTCTTCTAACCTTACTTGATAGGTCTGTGCCTGTGATTGTGACCATTCTTTCCACAGGCCACAGCGGACCCGGATCCCCTTCTCCTTCCTCTCAATTCCTTCTCCTTTGTCATCATTTTTCCTCTCCCATCCTTTTTGGGTCTGTGTCCTCTCCTCAGCTTTTTCTCTTGCTCTTCGAATTCTCCATGAGTGAGCTCATCCACTATCTCCGTTTCAACCATCCTAGGTGTCAGTATCCCCCACGTATGAACCCCAGCTGAGACTCCTTCCTGAGCTCTAGACCCAGATTTCTAATTGCTCATTAGACATTTCCATTTGAGTGCCTACAAGTACTGCAAATTCGGCATGTGAAATATTAAATTCCTCATTTTCTACCCTCCAACTTGCTCTTGCTCCTAATTTCCCATTAATATGCTACAATCTTCTGAGTAGCCTGAGCCAGAAGCCAGGATGTCTTCTCTTTCATTCATCCCACTCCTTGTCCAGGGATAATCCATCACCCAGTCCCATTGACTCACTTCATTAGCTGAAATCCATCTGGGTTCCTCACTCATTCACTACCCCTGCTTTTCTTCCGTGCCTACCACCACTTGCCAATGGCGTCATGGGGAACCTCTCTTATATTCACATTTGGGATAATCCTTTTAAAAACAAAACCTAATCACACCCTTCTCTTACCTAAAATTTTGTGTGTAAATGAAACCCAATTTCCAACATGGTATACAGAGCTCTCTGTGATCTGCCCCCCGGCTAAATTGGCAACCTTATCTTCCACCTCCTTTCCTCCACACACAGACTCCGTTTTCCAAGCAAGTTGACATACTCTTACTTTCCTGAACAAGTTAAGCTACCTCAAATCTTTGTGTCTTGGCACAAAGGGCTCCCTCTGACTGGTGTACCCTTTCTCCTCTAGTCATTTTAGAAAACTCTTTATCTTTCTAGTTTTAGGTCGAAGGTCATATACGTAAGTGAGGTACTTTTCCTCTTCTCTATTCTCTTTGCCCCTCACCCACATGCTGTTCTGGCTTTCATTCTGTCTGGTCATGGTTTTATGTGTGTGTCTGTCTCTCTTACAAGGTTGAGAGTCCTTTAAAACAGATGCCCTATTTTATTCATTCTTAAGTCTCTATTACCTAGCACAGTGCCTGGTTCATACTTATGATTTGAGTCACTAAACACTTGTTGAATAAATGGACACAAGTGCAAAAAGTAATAAAACCATAAATATAATTGTTAGAATATAATTGTATCTAAACCAACCCTCCCAAATAACACAAAATAAAACTAAGACTCAGAAATATGAAATAATTTGCCCAAAGCCACACAGCTATATAGAATCAAAATCATGGACTTGACTTGTTCATGTGCTCTTTCCATTTCAATACACTTGTCCCTGACTTCATTTTTGAATATTCTATAATTCAGACTCTTCACTATTTTTGATTGTCATTCTTTCAACAGGGATAAATAAATGGGATTTTACTTAGGAGTTATTCTTATTATAATAAAATCTGACCATTGCCCCCCTTTTATCAATGTAAACACTGTAAAGTTCTTAACAGTAAAAGCGATTACTCACCGGTTCACTCAGATTATATGGCATGCCAATGTCAAGCTGCCTGCCCTGGAATGAAGAAGGAGGCAATAAACACCAGCTCTCAGTAATGTGTTCGGTATAACTGCCACACCTTTTTTTTTTTTTTTTAATAAAAAAGGCTTCCTGGAATAGTGTTTTCTCCTTGGTATTTCTGAACTGTAAAGTAAGGAGCCAAACGTTTTAAAATCATTAAATCAGACAAAACACCAGTGTAAATTATAAGACACAATGTCTAAGAATTCTGTAGAAACGATACAGGTGGGAGTGGGGTGTGGCTTTAAGGAGTGGTGAAGGACAATGGAGAGAGTCTCACACAGTACTAAATAAGCCTGTGACATTAGTCAATCAAGTCAAAGGACTCTGGGATTAAACATGTTCAGACGTTTCTTTTTTAAAAAACAGTCTTATTGAGGGCAGAGGGAAAAAAAAAAATACAAATTAGAGTTAAAAGAAAAGATGTTCCTCGCTAAGTTCATTGAGCACTCTCTCTCTTCCATGTAAGCACCATCCATTTTTCTCTTCACTCTATCTTTGTTCCTAGAACAGTGCCTGAGGGATAACAGGTGTTCAATAAATATATGCTGAAGGAATAAATCCATGAATTGAAGATGGCTACTACTTAGGAATGTTCTTTAAGTTTTGTCCCTTAGCAGCATCGTCCAGTGGCCTAGCATTGTGGGAGTTGACTTGAGAAGTAATCAGACAGGGGAACCAAAAAGCAAATGTTGCCTTTTCCCTCTCACTTGATGTGTGAATAAAGATTCCTGTAATTGCCATTCTCAAACCACTTACACTTGTAAAGAAGGATGCTTAATATGTTTTTGTTTTTAGATAATACATACTTAGAAAGTAAGAATGGTATCTTTTAGATTAATTGTACAACTATGTGCTTCATAGTACTTTGCTTCTATGTTTTTGTTCAAAATGATGCTTTTGATTCCCCTTTATATGACTGCACCATAATCATATACAATCGCATGTATGATAGTGAATCTGCAATTGAAATTTTTCCTATCCCTTCAAAAATCTGTTAGCTCATGAAAGCAAAAGAGTGGATGCTTGGTAGTTTTCGTGTTCTAGTTTAAATAGGACAGCATAGTGTTTCTTGATGACCATAAAGTCACATTGTAACGGTATTGAGTCCTGCTGTTGGCAGCTCTTAAGATCAAATTTAACAGGCCGAATGGAGTGCTCATCAAGTGATCTTGGGCAAGGAAGCCTCTCATGAATTAGGTCTACGGGGTTTGCAGGAAGCAGATTTTGTCAACGCTCCTCCCAAATCTCCACTGGTCTTCCATCTCCCTCCCCCTCATCATCATAGCTAACATTTAGTGACCAATTTCTATGTTCCAGCCATTCTCTCTTCAAGATGTTTTACACTAAATCTCATGCAACATCCCAACAACCCTATTAGGCAGGTACTATTATTAACTCCACATAGAGCTGAGAAACAAGGGGGTTTAGTAAATTGCCCAAGAGTTAGGGTTTGAAGTGGGGTGGGGGAAGTTGCCTCCAGACCCGTGCTTTAAACCAAAGTACAGATGCCTCCTGTAATCTGCACCAAATCCACATTCCTCACTTTGAAGTTGGGATCCTATAGGTTTACACTAATTCCACCTGCTCCAATTATCTGCTTAAAACACACAATCCCAGTCTAGAATCTTAAGGCCTCTTAACTCAACACCTACTCCTTGGCACAAGCTTTCCTATCCTGCCTACCTCAGCCGGAACTAATTTCATTCTTTACTTCCTACTCTAATAAATGAAAGAGAGTAGAATGATCTGCATTTTAATTCCACTTATGACACGTGCTCCCGATGTGATATTTTGAAAGTTACGTGCGCTGTCTAAAATTAGTATTCTCATCTGAGACATAAGCAAAATAATATTTAGTTCATAAAGTTCTGTGAGGACTCAATTAAATAATGTATTAATTTTTATAGTACAGTGCCAAGCACTTAGAAATCTATTGTTAATATTATATACAAACTTGCTATAACAGCCATTTGCAGACATATCTCTGGTTAGTTATGCAATAATCTTTTCAGAAAAATTTATTGATGTTCAGGGTTAAAGGTATATTTTTCTTTTTAATTTTGATATTTATTAACCCATCTTTTCTAGAAATCTATCAGTTTACATCCAAACCAACAGGATATGAAAGTGCTAGTTTATCCAAACTTTGCCAACTCTAAATGTTTTTATCTTTGCCAAAATGATAGAAGGAAAATTGATAATTCATTTTCACTGTGCGTTTCTACGGTTTCTATGAAGTTGAACAACACATGCATTTGAGCCATTTCTTTTTTTATTTTTTTTTATTGTTGAAGTAAGTCTTCATATTCTAAATTCATTTTAAGTACTTTTATATAGTGTTAATAAAATTTTGTTTATCATATATAATGTTTTTCCCATTTTTTGACTTTGTTTCTACTGTATTCTGATCATTATCATATATTTTAAATTTTTAAGAAGTCAAATTTATTAATAACTTATTTTAGGGAT